AGGCATGGTAGCCACAGGCATGGTAGCCACAGCTACAGGCAAGGTAGCTACAGCTACAGGCATGGTAGCCACAGTTACAGGCATGGTAGCCACAGCTACAGGCAAGGTAGCTACAGTTACAGGCAAGGTAGCTACAGTTACAGGCATGGTAGCTACAGGCATGGTAGCCACAGCTACAGGCATGGTAGCCACAGCTACAGGCATGGTAGCCACAGCTACAGGCATGGTAGCCACAGTTACAGGCATGGTAGCCACAGCTACAGGCATGGTAGCCACAGCTACAGGCATGGTAGCCACAGCTACAGGCAAGGTAGCTACAGTTACAGGCATGGTAGCTACATGCATGGTAGCCACAGCTACAGGCATGGTAGCTACAGGCATGGTAGCCACAGCTACAGGCCTTGTAGCTACAGGCATGGTAGTCACATCTACAGGCATGGTAGCTACAGGCATGGTAGCCACAGCTACAGGCCTTGTAAACAAGTATCAATTTTATGTAACGATGACGTCATCTAAGCTGTCATCAAGGATAACTTGTCGGGGTTATAATAATGGCGTTACATTAAATATTGAACTATATCAACATTAGAACAACATCAACATTAGAACAACATTAACATCAACATTAGAACAACATCAACATTAGAACAACATCAACATTAGAACAACATCAACATTAGAACAATATCAACATTAGAACAACATCAACATTAGAACAACATCAACATTAGAACAACATCAACATTAGAACAACATCAGCCGTTGAAGAACATCAACATTAGAATAAGAAGAACATTAGAACAACATCAAAATTAGAACAACATCAGCATTAGAACAACATCAGCCGTTGAAGAACATCAACATTAGAACAAGAACACCATTAGAACATCTTCAGCTGTTAAATTCCATTTGTCAGCTGCACGTGTTAGGCTTCAGCGTGTAACGAGTCTCCATTAGATCACACAAGGGTGGGGGGGGGGGGTCTGTGTAGGTCTGTTGCCATGGCAAAACTTGGAACATTGGATAATTCACGTTTAATTTAAAACTTGGATAAGTCGCAAAACAAAATGTGTCAGGAGCACGAATCTTCATGACGTCAGCACGACGAATCTTCATGACGTCAGCACGACGAATCTTCATGACGTCAGTACGACGAATCTTCATGACGTCAGCACGACGAATCTTCATGACGTCAGTACGACGAATCTTCATGACGTCAGCACGACGAATCTTCATGACGTCAGTACGACGAATCTTCATGACGTCAGTACGACGAATCTTCATGACGTCAGCACGACGAATCTTCATGACGTCAGTACGACGAATCTTCACACCATAAACCGTCGCTGCAGCTGTCAAAGACATGCACGTCGTCTGACTCGTACCAGACCATCGGGGCAGATCAAGATATCTGCCTGTCAGACTAAGATATCTGCCTGTCAGACTAAGATATCTGCCTGTCAGACTAAGATATCTGCCTGGCAGACTTCAAGATATCTGCCTGTCAGACTAAGATTCTGCCTGGCAGACTTCAAGATATCTGCCTGTCAGACTAAGATATCTGCCTGTCAGACTAAGATATCTGCCTGTCAGACTAAGATTCTGCCTGGCAGACTTCAAGATATCTGCCTGTCAGACTAAGATATCTGCCTGTCAGACTAAGATATCTGCCTGTCAGACTAAGATATCTGCCTGTCAGACTAAGATATCTGCCTGTCAGACTTCAAGATATCTGCCTCTCAGACTAAGATATCTGCCTGTCAGACTAAGATATCTGCCTGGCAGACTAAGATATCTGCCTGTCAGACGTCAAGATATCTGCCTGTCAGACTAAGATATCTGCCTGTCAGACTAAGATATCTGCCTGTCAGACTAAGATATCTGCCTGTCAGACATCAAGATATCTGCCTGTCAGACTAAGATATCTGCCTGTCAGACTTCAAGATATCTGCCTGTCAGACTAAGATATCTGCCTGTCAGACTTCAAGATATCTGTCTGTCAGACTTCAAGATATCTGCCTGTCAGACTTCAAGATATCTGCCTGTCAGACTAAGATATCTGCCTGTCAGACTTCAAGATATCTGCCTGTCAGACTTCAAGATATCTGCCTGTCAGACTTCAAGATATCTGCCTGTCAGACTAAGATATCTGCCTGTCAGACTAAGATATCTGCCTGTCAGACTTCAAGATATCTGCCTCTCAGACTAAGATATCTGCCTGTCAGACTAAGATATCTGCCTGGCAGACTAAGATATCTGCCTGTCAGACGTCAAGATATCTGCCTGTCAGACTAAGATATCTGCCTGTCAGACTAAGATATCTGCCTGTCAGACTAAGATATCTGCCTGTCAGACATCAAGATATCTGCCTGTCAGACTAAGATATCTGCCTGTCAGACTTCAAGATATCTGCCTGTCAGACTAAGATATCTGCCTGTCAGACTTCAAGATATCTGTCTGTCAGACTTCAAGATATCTGCCTGTCAGACTTCAAGATATCTGCCTGTCAGACTAAGATATCTGCCTGTCAGACTTCAAGATATCTGCCTGTCAGACTTCAAGATATCTGCCTGTCAGACTTCAAGATATCTGCCTGTCAGACTTCAAGATATCTGCCTGTCAGACTAAGATATCTGCCTGTCAGACTTCAAGATATCTGTCTGTCAGACTTCAAGATATCTGCCTTACATTAGTGACACCAAACACAATTCCTATCCTAACGGTGGTGACAAAAACTATACCCCTCTAAAGTTTATGACACAAAAGTAGACACCATAATACCGAAGTTACTAAAAAAAAAAACAATAGCATATTTACCGTCATTATACAAATGAGTCATTATTATTAACAAGCTGTTGAAAAGTGTTGACTAAAAAACATCTCTATCTTTATTTCTAGGAGCCATCTAAGTTTAGCAACGGGACTTTCCGAACACAAACTGCATCTGGACAACATCCCATTCAAGAAGGAAAACTCGGTCTCGTCCATTGGCAAGGAATCGGAGGGTAAAAACTATGTCTCGTCCATTGGCAAGGAATCGGAGGGTAAAAATTATGTCTCGTCCATTGGCAAGGAATCGGAGGGTAAAAATTATGTCTCGTCCATTGGCAAGGAATCGGAGGGTAAAAATTATGTCTCGTCCATTGGCAAGGAATCGGAGGGTAAAAATTATGTCTCGTCCATTGGCAAGGAATCGGAGGGTAAAAATTATGTCTCGTCCATTGGCAAGGAATCGGAGGGTAAAAATTATGTCTCGTCCATTGGCAAGGAATCGGAGGGTAAAAATTATGTCTCGTCCATTGGCAAGGAATCGGAGGGTAAAAATTATGTCTCGTCCACTGGCAAGGAATCGGAGGGTAAAAATTATGTCTCGTCCATTGGCAAGGAATCGGAGGGTAAAAATTATGTCTCGTCCATTGTCAGGGAATCGGAGGGTAAAAATTATGTCTCGTCCATTGTCAGGGAATCGGAGGGTAAAAATTATGTCTCGTCCATTGGCAAGGAATCGGAGGGTAAAAATTATGTCTCGTCCATTGTCAGGGAATCGGAGGGTAAAAATTATGTCTCGTCCATTGGCAAGGAATCGGAGGGTAAAAATTATGTCTCGTCCATTGGCAAGGAATCGGAGGGTAAAAATTATGTCTCGTCCATTGTCAGGGAATCGGAGGGTAAAAATTATGTCTCGTCCATTGGCAAGGAATCGGAGGGTAATCCCACGTCTTAAGCTGTGACGTAAATCAAGTCTAAAATCTAACTATCCTTAAGTCGAGTCCAATGTCTAACTGTCGTGTAAATCAAATCTAAAATCTAACTATCCTTAAGTCGAGTCTAATGTCTAACTGTCGTGTAAATCAAATCTAAAATCTAACTGTCGTGTAAGTCGAGTCTGTCGTGTGAGTCGAGTCTAACTGTCGTGTGAGTCGAGTCTAACTGTCTGTAAGTGAGTCGAGTCTAACTGTCGTGTAAGTCGAGTCTAACTGTCGTGTAAGTCGAGTCTAACTGTCGCGTAAGTCGAGTCTAACTGTCGTGTAAGTCGAGTCTAACTGTCGTGTAAGTCGAGTCTAACTGTCGTGTAAGTCGAATCTAACTGTCGTGTAAGTCGAGTCTAACTGTCGTGTAAGTCGAGTCTAACTGTCTGTAAGTCGAGTCTAACTGTCGTGTAAGTCGAGTCTAACTGTCGTGTAAGTCGAGTCTAACTGTCTGTAAGTCGAGTCTAACTGTCGTGTAGGTCGAGTCTAACTGTCGTGTAAGTCGAGTCTAACTGTCTGTAAGTCAAGTCTAACAGTCGTGTAAGTCTAACTGTCGTGTAAGTCGAGTCTAACTGTCGTGTAAGTCGAGTCTAACTGTCTGTAAGTCGAGTCTAACTGTCGTGTAAGTCGAGTCTAACTGTCGTGTAAGTCGAGTCTAACTGTCGTGTAGGTCGAGTCTAACTGTCGTGTAAGTCGAGTCTAATTGTCGTGTAAGTCGAGTCTAACTGTCGTGTAAGTCGAGTCTAACTGTCTGTAAGTCAGTCGAGTCTAACTGTCGTGTAGGTCGAGTCTAACTGTCGTGTAAGTCGAGTCTAATTGTCGTGTAAGTCGAGTCTAACTGTCGTGTAAGTCGAGTCTAACTGTCGTGTAAGTCGAGTCTAACTGTCGTGTAAGTCGAGTCTAACTGTCGAGTGAGTCGAGTCTAACTGTCGTGTAAGTCGAGTCTAACTGTCGAGTGAGTCGAGTCTAACTGTCGAGTGAGTCGAGTCTAACTGTCTGTAAGTCGAATCTAACTTACCGACATCCGTTTAGCTCAAGTACTTTCTAACTCGACTGGCCTGATTTTCATGTATTGATTTTTCTGGCACTGATGTAGACGCTAATAGACTGTAGGCCGCAGCTGCCACCCCCCCCCCCCCCCCACCCCACCACCTTCAGCTCGTTGACAACAGTGTTTGTTTCAATTTACTCCGTGGGGGGGGGGGGGGAGAGACGCACTTAAAACTTTCGGGGGCGGGAGGGGAGATTTTAAATTTTAGAAATTATAACTTTTTTTTCTAATCGAAGGGGCAAGAGTGGGCGGTGGACGTGCTTCGGGGTGGGGGGGGGGGGGGTCGGGGGGGTGGGAGTGAGGCCTGAAAGAAACACCACCCCACTACTTGAGAGTACTGCCCCCCCCCCCCCCCCACCACTTGACGGGACCCTGACACTGTTCTTGTATCAACAGACGAACCAGACCTCTCGCCCAAACTGACCCAGCTGACGGACCAACACAAGAAGGCCATCAGGGCCATCCGCAAGATCCGCTACTTTGTGGCCAGGAGAAAGTTCCGCGAGGCGCTCAGGCCGTATGACGTCAAGGATGTCATCGAGCAGTACTCAGCTGGTCACGTGGACATGCTCGGCAGAATCAAAAACCTCCAGGGCCGGTAATCTCTTTTGTATCGACTTCAAGTCTTCGTCCTTTTATTTTTGTATCATTTTCAAGTCTTCGTCCTTTTATTTTTGTATCGACTTCAAGTCTTCGTCCTTTTATTTTTGTATCGACTTCAAGTCTTCGTCCTTTTATTTTTGTATCGACTTCAAGTCTTCGTCCTTTTATTTTTGTATCGACTTCAAGTCTTCGTCCTTTTATTTTTGTATCGACTTCAAGTCTTCGTCCTTTTATTTTTGTATCGACTTCAAGTCTTCGTCCTTTTATTTTTGTATCGACTTCAAGTCTTCGTCCTTTTATTTTTGTATCGACTTCAAGTCTTCGTCCTTTTATTTTTGTATCGACTTCAAGTCTTCGTCCTTTTATTTTTGTATCGTCTTCAAGTCTTCGTCCTTTTATTTTTGTATCGACTTCAAGTCTTCGTCCTTTTATTTTTGTATCGACTTCAAGTCTTCGTCCTTTTATTTTTGTATCGACTTCAAGTCTTCGTCCTTTTATTTTTGTATCGACTTCAAGTCTTCGTCCTTTTATTTTTGTATCGACTTCAAGTCTTCGTCCTTTTATTTTTGTATCGACTTCAAGTCTTCGTCCTTTTATTTTTGTATCGACTTCCAGTCTTCGTCCTTTTATTTTTGTATCGACTTCAAGTCTTCGTCCTTTTATTTTTGTATCGACTTCAAGTCTTCGTCCTTTTATTTTTGTATCGACTTCAAGTCTTCGTCCTTTTATTTTTGTATTGACTTCAAGTCTTCGTCCGATTATTTTTGTATCGACTTCAAGTCTTCGTCCTTTTATTTTTGTATCGACTTCAAGTCTTCGTCCTTTTATTTTTGTATCGACTTCAAGTCTTCGTCCTTTTATTTTTGTATCGACTTCAAGTCTTCGTCCTTTTATTTTTGTATCGACTTCAAGTCTTCGTCCTTTTATTTTTGTATTGACTTCAAGTCTTCGTCCTTTTATTTTTGTATCGACTTCAAGTCTTCGTCCTTTTATTTTTGTATCGACTTCAAGTCTTCGTCCTTTTATTTTTGTATTGACTTCAAGTTACTTTTTTTTTTTTCATTTTTTCCTCTTTTCGGTTTAGTTTTTTTTTTCGTTAATCCTTCCTTGTTTTTCCAAAAAAAAAAAGTTTGTTCCATTTCTTTTTGTTTTGAATTTATTTTTTTAGTGTTAAGTCCTCTTGTCGTTTTGTCCTTTGATGCTGATCGTTTGGAACCCTGGGCCTGTGCTATCGGATGTTGGTCCTGTACATGGCGTCATTTGAACTTCAAGTGGCGGGGGCGGGTGTTTGTGGTGTCTAAACTTTGGGCTGGTGTTTGTGGTGTCTAAACTTTGGGTTGGTGTTCTCTGTTCCAGGCTGGATCAGATCCTGGGCCGTCAAGGCAGCAAGAGCAAGGACGTGTACGAGTCGAAGCTTTCGCTGGCCTCCAGGATCGTCAAGGTAGAGAGACAGGTGAGTGTGTGGGGGACAGGTGAGTGTGTGGGGGACAGGTGAGTGTGTGGGACAGGTGAGTGTGTGGGACAGGTGAGTGTGTGGGACAGGTGAGTGTGTGGGACAGGTGAGCTTGTGTGTGGGATAGGTGAAGTTGTGTGTGGGACAGGGTTATTGAATGTCCCATCATTATCTCCAACAATGTGTTGAATGACCCATCATTACCTCCAACAATGTGTTGAATGACCCATCATTACCTCCAACAATGTGTTGAATGACCCATCATTACCTCCAACAATGTGTTGAATGACCCATCATTATCTCCAACAATGTGTTGAATGTCCCAGCATTACCTCCAACAATGTGTTGAATGACCCATCATTATCTCCAACAATGTGTTGGATGCCCCATCATTCCCATCATTATCTCCAACAATTTGTTGAATGTCCCAGCATTACCTCCAACAATGTGTTGAATGACCCATCATTATCTCCAACAATGTGTTGGATGCCCCATCATTCCCATCATTATCTCCAACAATTTGTTGAATGTCCCAGCATTACCTCCAACAATGTGTTGAATGTCCCATCATTATCTCCAACAATGTGTTGAATGACCCATCATTACCTCCAACAATGTGTTGAATGACCCATCATTATCTCCAACAATGTGTTGAATGTCCCATCATTACCTCCAACAATGTGTTGAATGTCCCATCATTACCTCCAACAATGTGTTGAATGTCCCAACATTACCTCCAACAATGTGTTGAATGTCCCATCATTACCTCCAACAATTTGTTGAATGTCCCATCATTACCTCCAACAATTGTTGAATGTCCCAACATTACCTCCAACAATTTGTTGAATGTCCTCAGGTGGACGACATCGAGACGAAGCTTGACCTGTTGGTGGACATGTACAAGGAAGATCGCAAGCTTCTGCTGCAGCACATTCAACACACCTACGGGGAGAATCCACCGCCACCCAATCCACCAAAACCTCCACCGTTCAAGCCCCGCCCCATTCTGATTGACAAGCAGTTCACGAGCGAGCCCCCCACCCCCACCTGCCTGGGTATGGGACGTCAGCGACCCGTCATCCAGCGCAACTTGTCCGACCTGAGCCAAAGAATTAAAAAAAGAGTGACGTACCGTGGGCTGTCGTCACATGACCCGCCGTCACGTGCCCAGTCTGCTGCTAACTTCTCCGCCAACCTCCCTCTGGCCTCCATCCTGACGTCCACGATGGCCGAGCAACGTTTGGAGCACGCCACCTCTGAGGGCGAGGTGGGGCTGGCGGGGGACGCCTCGGGCCACTTCCTGTTTAGGACCGACAAGGACCTTGAGCCGCTCAACGACCAGGTCTTTGATGACCAGCCGCCCCCTGACCCGTGCTCGCTGCCCGCCCCGCCCGGGCTCTGCACCCTCAGCGAGCAGCGGAGCGTGGAGTCGGACTCGAGCCTGTCGTGTCCGGACTTGACCGGCTCCCCCACCCCACCCAAACACCTGACCGGACCCCCCACCCCACCCAAACACCTGACTGGACCCCCCACCCCACCCAAACACCTGACTGGCTCCCCCACCCCACCCAAACACCTCCTAGCCCCATCTTGCCAGGACAGTTTTCCTAGAATTCCCCAGTTGTCTTCCTGCCCAGAGACGAGGGTTGTGCCAGCAGCTCAGCAGACGACCGACTCGGGAGGCTCCAATCACGTGACCGACGTCCAGTCTGGACAAAACGTGTTGATAGAACATTTAGTCTGACCATAGCGTCGTTTGATTGTGTGATGTTTTTCTCATTGTAATTGTTTGATTGTGTGATGTTTTGCTCATTTTAATAGTTTGATTGTGTGATGTTTTGCTCATTGTAATAGTTTGATAGAGTGATGTTTTGCTCATTGTAATAGTTTGATAGAGTGATGTTTTGCTCATTGTAATAGTTTGATTGTGTGATGTTTTGCTCATTGTGGTAGTTTGTGTGGAGGGTTGTGGTAGTTTGTGTGGAGGGTTGTTATAGTTTGTGTGGAGGGTTGTGGTAGTTTGTGTGGAGGGTTGTGGTAGTTTGTGTGGAGGGTTGTGGTAGTTTTTGTGGAGGTTTGTGGTAGTTTGTGTGGAGGGTTGTGGTAGTTTGTTTGGAGGGTTGTTATAGTTTGTGTGGAGCGTTGTGGTAGTTTGTGTGGAGGGTTCTGGTAGTTTGTGTGGAGGGTTGTGGTAGTTTGTGTGGAGGGTTGTGGTAGTTTGTGTGGTGGGTTGTGGTAGTTTGTGTGGAGGGTTGTGGTAGTTTGTGTGGAGGGTTGTGGTAGTTTGTATGGAGGGTTGTGGTAGTTTGTGCGGAGGGTTGTGGTAGTTTGTGTGGTGGGTTGTGGTAGTTTGTGTGGAGGGTTGTGGTAGTTTGTGTGGAGGGTTGTGGTAGTTTGTATGGAGGGTTGTGGTAGTTTGTGCGGAGGGTTGTGGTAGTTTGTGTGGAGGGTTGTGGTAGTTTGTGTGGAGGGTTGTGGTAGCTATACAACCATCGTGTCACGTGAACAGACCCTGACGACTGCTCACGATCCGACTAGAACCTTCTGTGGGTGTAGCCTCGATTTGGACCTGGTAACTTCTGCTGTTAAACGAATCCGTCACGACACATATGACGTGGCACCACCACGTGATGAGATACCACTTGGCCGTTGGATTGGCAAAAAAACAATTCCTTGCCAATTTGTTCTTGAAGCCTGGATATGCCATCTATTTTTAGCGGAAGTGATCCAATAGCGCCCTTGTGATTTATTAGCGCCACCTATGATATACCAGCGGCGCCTATAATATACTAGGGCCCCCTAGGTACACTAGCGCCCCCTAAGATACACTAGCGCCCCTATGATCCACTAGCGCCCCTATGATCCATAGCGCCCTCCCCCCCTCCCCCACTTGATCCACTAACGCCCCCTATGTAACAGCCTGGTTATGGCTGACATGACAGCTGTGATGTATGTAGCCATTTCTACCCAGCATTCAAACTGTACATCCGGCAACTGGTTGAAAGTGGGCGTGTCTACCGTTGTGTAGTTTATTCGATCATGTCACGGAGTTTACAGGGAGATCGGTTTTCATTGCTACTACCGCCGATGAGAGTCATCAATATACCGTGGTTTATAGCCCACCCCCCCCCCTAGTCTACTGGCTCAATAACTGACGTAATGCTCTTTATATAGCCCCACCCCCCTTTTTTCTAGTTGTCTCTCATTTCGAAGCGTTTTCTTCCTCTGTTGACTATCTCTTCTATCCTCCCTTTGTTATCAGTCTATTCTCTCCCTCAGTTTTGTCGTCTTGCCCCACTTACCCCCTCCTGTTAAAGACCTTTTGCTAGTCTAGCCACCACTTACCCCCTCCTGTTAAAGACCTTTTGCTAGTCTAGCCACCACTTACCCCCTCCCGTTAAAGACCTTTTGCTAGTCTAGCCACCACTTACCCCCTCCTGTTAAAGACCTTTTGCTAGTCTAGCCACCACTTACCCCCTCCTGTTAAAGACCTTTTGCTAGTCTAGCCACCACTTACCCCCTCCTCTTAAAGACCTTTTGCTAGTCTAGCCCCAGTTACCCCCTCTTGTTAAAGACCTTTTGCTAGTCCAGCCACCACTTACCCCCTCCTGTTAAAGACCTTTTGCTAGTCTAGCCCCAGTTACCCCCTCCTGTTAAAGACCTTTGGCTAGTCTAGCCCCAGTTACCCCATCCTGTTAAAGACCTTTTGCTAGTCCAGCCACTACTTACCCCCTCCTGGTAAAGACCTTTTGCTAGTCTAGCCCCAGTTACCCCCTCCTGTTAAAGACCTTTTGCTAGTCTAGCCACCACTTACCCCCTCCTGTTAAAGACCTTTTGCTAGTCTAGCCCCTCTTACCCCACCCTATTAAAGACCTTTTGCTAGTCTAGCCCCTCTTACCCCACCCTATTAAAGACCTTTTGCTAGTCTAGCCCCAGTTACCCCCTCCTGTTAAAGACCTTTGGCTAGTCTAGCCCCAGTTACCCCATCCTGTTAAAGACCTTTTGCTAGTCCAGCCACTACTTACCCCCTCCTGGTAAAGACCTTTTGCTAGTCTAGCCCCAGTTACCCCCTCCTGTTAAAGACCTTTGGCTAGTCTAGCCACTACTTACCCCCTCCTGTTAAAGACCTTTTGCTAGTCTAGCCCCAGTTACCCCCTCCTGTTAAAGACCTTTTGCTAGTCCAGCCACTACTTACCCCCTCCTGGTAAAGACCTTTTGCTAGTCTAGCCCCAGTTACCCCCTCCTGTTAAAGACCTTTTGCTAGTCTAGCCACCACTTACCCCCTCCTGTTAAAGACCTTTTGCTAGTCTAGCCCCAGTTACCCCCTCCTGTTAAAGACCTTTTGCTAGTCTAGACACCACTTACCCCCTCCTGTTAAAGACCTTTTGCTAGTCTAGCCACCACTTACCCCCTCCTGTTAAAGACCTCTTTCTAGTCTAGCCACTAGTTTTCTGAAGATGCTTTCACTCAAGTGAGCGACCAAATTTGGACAAATCTGCGACTTACTACCGACTCTAAACGGGATAGAAGTTTTAGAAGCCATTTCAAAATTGTCCAAACTATGCTAGGGATATTTTAAATTTTCATGGGCCTAAAAAGGAAAAATTATTGAATGTTATCAAAATGTAAAACATGTAAAATGTAATGCTGTGCGTTATTTTATTCAAATTGAAACATTTTTTATAATCTGGTTGTAACATTACAGGTTATTTCAGCTCAGTTGTGTTCCCAGGGGGGGGGGGGGGGCGACCACAGATTTTTTTTTTTTTACCTACGATTATTCTTTGCTAAATTCTTTGAATTACCCATGTTTTTAAAAATCAGTTTCGCATATTTTTTTTTGTGCGCAATTTTTCTGATAACCTACATCTGATAGGTCATTTGTGAATATTATCCCTTTGTTTTTTTTTTTCTGTTTTTTTTTTTTTTTTGTAGTGAATACTTTCCCTTCAATAACTGTGAGACGAGCATCCCGCAAATATTTCAAATGAAATGTCATTCAAATGACATATGATATGCTAGTGTTAAATAACGGTTGAAGAAAAATAATTAATTAATTTTAAATAATGGATCGGTGCTCAAGTTTCTCGCCTAGGCTACGGCAGAGAGCATCTGTACCGTGTCAGTCAGTTGTGTGAGGTAACTTTTGTATCAACAAAATACTTGCCAATTTTGTATCATGTCTGCAAGCTGTGTCGCAAGCTTGTGTCTGTGACAGAGAACTAACTCGCGATGCGGAAAATAATTCGCATTAATTTGCCACAATTTTTATTTTTCTCTCGTGGTGTGTGTTTGTGTGTGTGCGCGCGCGTGCTGATCTCCTTACCCGACGAAGGATACCCGCTTTTACATGCAAGTTTAACAAAACAAAACGCTGCAACATATTTTGTGACCGTAGTAAAGTCATAAATCTTGATGAAGTGTGAAATAAACTTGATGCTATCACGTGGGCCAGCGAATGTCTAGAGATTAACTGTGTAATAAACACTTGGGTATTCCACCTACTGCACCCCTCCCCAAACACTTGGGTATTCCACCTACAACATCCCTCCCCAACACTTGAGTATTCCACTTACAGTACCCCTCCCCCCCCCCCCAACACTTGGGTATTCCACCTACAGTAACCCTCCCCCAACACTTGGGTATTCCACCTATAGCACCCCCCCCCAACACTTGGGTATTCCACCTACAGCACCCCCCCCCCCCCTCAACACTTGGGTATTCCACCTACTGCACCCCTCCCCAAACACTTGGGTATTCCACACAGCATCCCTCCCCAACACTTGGGTATTCCACCTAGTCTGCAGGATGTCCCTGAGTATTCCCTGTATTCTATCGTGTTGTTAAACTCTAAACTGATGGCGTTAACCAGACAAACCAGGTCACGTGATTACAATGTTTCTACCAGCCGAAAGCTAAAGTTATCACCATTCAATTGGTCTCAGCACACACTGTCAAATAAACTTTCTGGTAATCACCAGTGATTAAAGACACGTCTAGACGTGCATGTAATGTTGGTTCTCGCTTATTTCAACCCTTTTAAATGTTGCATTACGTCGCCGGGGGGGGGGGGGGTGCTAACCACAGTGGGTGACACCATCCAGGGGGTGAGGTGACACACAGACACACACAAAACAATTTTTAATAAGAAAGTCTTATTTTAAGTTTGACAGCTAATCAGGGTTACATACATCATTGGGCACAAGGTGACACCAAACTCCGTATAGTTTTGGCACATTCATAGATGCGGAGTGCTACATACGGAGTTTGCCTGCTCTACAACATAATCTTGTATTTGTATGTAACTTACATAGACCTACTATGTAGCCTTCACCATAACGTTTAGAAAATATTTGAAAACCACCGTGTAAGTTGTTTCATGGCTGTGTGGGCAAGCTAGAATTTTTTTGAATTATAAAATGTTAATATGTTGATAGATATTGGGTTGGTATTTGTTACTAGATTGTTTTGGTTATTAATTTATTGGACTCGTGATACTAAGTTGTTAGATTGTTATAGCTATAGCACTTTTAAAAACATGTCTGTAGTGTATATCTGTAGTGTGATGTGTGCATGATAGAACTTTTAATAACTTTTTTTTTCAGTTGTTATATTTACGTACGTTGTTTAATGAATAAAATGAATTAAATGACTCATATAATGTGTTAATTCTATTACTTTATTTTTTTTATGAACATACAACTGCAAAATATAATATTATTTCCTAACTTTTGTGTGTGTGTGTGTGTGTGTTAACAATAAAAACTTCAAAAAGTGACACACATCTAACAATCTAGTAAAATCTAGTTGAATATAGCCACAATCACTGTGTTAACAATAAAAACTTCAAAAAGTGACACACATCTAACAATCTAGTTGAATACAGCCACAATCACTGTGTTAACAATAAAAACTTCAAAAAGTGACACACATCTAACAATCTAGTTGAATACAGCCACAATCACTGTCGTGTTATTACTGCTAGAAAAAAAAAGTCTAGCCCATCAGGCAAACTGTTCCCTGAGCACTTCGGTCGACTGCAAATTTCGGGTTTTTAGAGTTTGTTTTGACAATGAGATTTTTTACTTTTGGTGACTTAAAGAAGACGTAGATTCTAGATCTAGATCTAGATCTACATGTGTATTCTCCGCGTAGTCACTTCGTAAATAGTAAATATTATTAAGTATAGTATTAGACTACTAGATCTAGATTACCAATAATAAAATAAGTATCAGACCAGTAGTATCATGCCATTAGATTAGAGTAGAATCTAGAAGATCTAGAAATCTAGTTATTTAGTAGTAGACTGAGTAGACTCCTACCACCACTGTTACTGTACTGTACTCTTACTCCTTACTGGTAATCTATCGTTTTAGGTACGTAAAATCGCCCGCGACTAGTAATGTGAAAAACAGGTGACTCCTTAAATTTTAATAATTATTTCACGTTTTGAGGACGATTTATGTTTTGAAAAATACAAAAATGTTTCCCTGTTTCATTTAGATTTTAGATCTATGTAAATCTACCTGTTTTTAATTTAAACTACAATTGAATCAAAACTTTTCAGTAATAAATGAAAACTAGCGATGTTTCCAACAGATGCAACATTGCTCATTTACTATAGCAGCCATCTTGTTGAAGTTTTTTTTATAAAATTATAGCGCTAGATTCAGGGGAAGACACGCTAACTTACAGATGGCCGCTTTTTATATAGCAAATCCTGCTCGCAAACACTGCTGTTTAAAGTTAATTTCTGGCCTATATTGATATATTTAGCCATTGATTTAGGTTTATTATTCATTTATCTATAATATTTGACACAAATATATCACAATATACTTTTATTAAAGCCTTGACAATGAGGTAACTTTTTTGTACATTACTAGCCGCAGGCGATTTTACATACATTTTACAACGATAGATTACCAAAAAGGCTTTAATAGAAGTAGGCCCTATATTGTGATATAAAAAGATATATTTGTGTCACATATTATAGATAAATGAATAATATTAAATATCTAGAGTAAAGTGCAGCGCACAGTCAAAACACTGCTGCGACCAACCTCCTGATTATTTGCTCAATATAATAATTGTTCTAAACAAAACAACCACTATCTGCTGTACCTAGGTCCATTTCTAAACATATCCAGGTCAAATTCTTTTGTTTTCTCCTTCTGGAAGACGAGTTTTAAATTTTTAAAAATTTTTTAGTTACGACGTCATATTTGGGTCATGTTGATTAAAGCAATCTAGCTTTAAAGCAATCTGAGAGGAGAAATTGGGGGTGGCTGCAGCTGGATAAGGATTTGAACTAGACTAGCCTAGATCAAGATTCTACATTTAAATTACAGTTATTTTTCATCAACATTAATTATTAATAAATATATAATTCTCGTTATTTTAGCTTAGATTTAGTATAACAAAAACAAATTTTAGTCAAACAAAAACAAATTTGCTAACAAAAATGCATTTCAAAAAATGAAATAGATCTAGACCAAAAAAAAATCTAACAAATACACACTTTGGAAGCCATATAAAATATTTTTAAGTAATTTGTTTTATGTAGGGTGAGTTGCTATTTAATACTTTATCCTCTCAGACCAGAATATCTATGGGACATTTCATGGGTTTTGTGTGAACAGATTTCATGACCAAATCTTGCCAAAATCTAATGGGCAAGATTTATATATCTGAAGGACCAAATAAATAGATGCAGGCATATACTGTCATGTGTCACATCCAGTAAGCATGCTAATATTTCTCCAGGTGGGCTGCTATACAAACAAGTGGGCTGCAATACAAGTGGGCTGCTATACAAGTGGGCTGCTATACAAGTAGGCTGCTATACAAGTGGGCTGCTATACAAGTGGGCTGCTATACAAGTGGGCTGCTATACAAGTGGGCTGCAATGTTTGACTGACATGGTTTGTCATGGCCTGGCTCAGCACCTTCTACCTTGTGTCAGTCTTATGTTTGGGTCTACAAGGTCAAGGTAAGATCTCACAAGTTCACATCTTCAAATACACAGGATGCTTCATTCATTCAGTAGACCTACACGTCTATGGCTGGTTCATTCATTCAGTAGACCTACACGTCTATGGCTGGTTCATTCATACAGTAGACCTACACGTCTATGGCTGGTTCATTCATTCAGTAGACCTACACGTCTATGGCTGCTTCATTCATACAGTAGACCTACACGTCTATGGCTGGTTCATTCATTCAGTAGACCTACACATAACACAGATAACCTTGACCCCAGATCATGCAATTCATTTAACCTTGACCCCACAGATCATGTGATGCTGGTTGAAAACTGCAACTGGCCCAGAGAACAGCTGGTCAAACAAAACATCTCAGTCAAAATACCAGAGTCACTGAGGCAAAGTCTGGTGTAAGTAGTGGTCAGTTCTAGGGTAATTAGGTCAACTATACAGTGGTTAGTTCTATGGTAATTAGGTCAACTATACAGTGGTCAGTTCTAGGGTAATTAGGTCAACTATACAGTGGTCAGTTCTAGGGTAATTCGGTCAACTATACAGTGGTCGATTCTAGTGTAATTGGGTCAAATATACAATGTCAGGTAACTAGTTTACCTGGTCAGATCTTGTGTAACTGTCAACTTGACAGAGTCTATTTTATTGTACTTGGATAAACATCACAATAGTTATGTGGCCTTATTTAGATCCACTACAGAAATTGTAATAACAAATTTTGATTGGTTCAACAAGCTTCATTATACAATTTTTTTTCCTGTAGACTAGGCTCAATGTTTGGATTAATACAATTTTTTTATCCTGTAGACTAGGCTCAATGTTTGAATTAATACACATGTTTTCATATAGACTAGGCTCAATGTTTGAATTAATACAAGTTTTTTTTATGTAGACTAAACTCAATGTTTGAATTAATACACAATTTTTCCTGTAGACTAAACTCAATGTTTGAATTAATACACAATTTTTCCTGTAGACTAAACTCAATGTTTGAATTGATACACAATTTTTCCTGTAGACTAAACTCAATGTTTGAATTAATACAAATTTTATCCTGTAGACTAAACCCAATGTTTGAATTAATACACATTTTTTCATGTAGACTAGACTCAATGTTTGAATTAATACAAATTTTATCCTGTAGACTAGGCTCAATGTTTGAATTAATACACAATTTTTCCTGTAGACCTAGGCTCAATGTTTGAATTAATACAAATTTTATCCTGTAGACTAGGCTCAATGTTTGAATTAATACAAATTTTATCCTGTAGACTAGGCTCAATGTTTGAATTAATACAAATTTTATCCTGTAGACTAGGCTCAATGTTTGAATTAATACAAATGTTTTCATGTAGACTAGGCTCAATGTTTGAATTAATACAAATGTTTTCATGTAGACTAGGCTCAATGTTTGAATTAATACAAATGTTTTCATGTAGACTAGACTCAATGTTTGAATTAATACAAATGTTTTCATGTAGACTAGACTCAATGTTTGAATTAATACAATGTTTTTCCTGTAGACCTAGACTCAATGTTTGAATTAATACAAATGTTTTCATGTAGACTAGACTCAATGTTTGAATTAATACAATGTTTTTCCTGTAGACCTAGACTCAATGTTTGAATTAATACAAATGTTTTCATGTAGACTAGACTCAATGTTTGAATTAATACAAATGTTTTCATGTAGACTAGGCTCAATGTTTGAATTAATACAAATGTTTTTATGTAGACTAGGCTCAATGTTTGAATTAATATAAATGTTTTTATGTAGACTAGGCTCAATGTTTGAATTAATATAAATTTTATCCTGTAGACTAGGCTCAATATTTGAATTAATACAAATGTTTTCCTGTAGACTAGACTCAATGTTTGAATTAATACAAATGTTTTCATGTAGACTAGGCTCAATGTTTGAATTAATACAAATTTTATCCTGTAGACTAGGCTCAATGTTTGAATTAATACAAATTTTATCCTGTAGACTAGGCTCAATGTTTGAATTAATACAAATTTTATCCTGTAGTCTAGGCTCAATGTTTGAATTAATACAAATGTTTTCATGTAGACTAGGCTCAATGTTTGAATTAATACAAATGTTTTCATGTAGACTAGGCTCAATGTTTGAATTAATACAAATGTTTTCATGTAGACTAGGCTCAATGTTTGAATTAATACAAATGTTTTCATGTAGACTAGGCTCAATGTTTGAATTAATACAAATTTTATCCTGTAGACTAGGCTCAATGTTTGAATTAATACAAATTTTATCCTGTAGACTAGGCTCAATGTTTGAATTAATACAAATTTTATCCTGTAGTCTAGGCTCAATGTTTGAATTAATACAAATTTTATCCTGTAGTCTAGGCTCAATGTTTGAATTAATACAAATGTTTTCATGTAGACTAGGCTCAATGTTTGAATTAATACAAATTTTATCCTGTAGACTAGGCTCAATGTTTGAATTAATACAAATGTTTTCATGTAGACTAGGCTCAATGTTTGAATTAATACAAATTTTATCCTGTAGACTAGGCTCAATGTTTGAATTAATACAAATTTTATCCTGTAGACTAGGCTCAATGTTTGAATTAATACAAATTTTATCCTGTAGACTAGGCTCAATGTTTGAATTAATACAAATTTTATCCTGTAGACTAGGCTCAATGTTTGAATTAATACAAATTTTATCCTGTAGCCTAGACTCAATGTTTGAATTAATACAAATGTTTTCATGTAGACTAGGCTCAATGTTTGAATTAATACAAATTTTATCCTGTAGACTAGGCTCAATGTTTGAATTAATACAAATTTTATCCTGTAGACTAGGCTCAATGTTTGAATTAATACAAATTTTATCCTGTAGACTAGGCTCAATGTTTGAATTAATACAAATTTTATCCTGTAGACTAGGCTCAATGTTTGAATTAATACAAATGTTTTCATGTAGACTAGGCTCAATGTTTGAATTAATACAAATTTTATCCTGTAGACTAGGCTCAATGTTTGAATTAATACAAATTTTATCCTGTAGACTAGACTCAATGTTTGAATTAATACAAATGTTTTCATGTAGACTAGGCTCAATGTTTGAATTAATACAAATGTTTTCATGTAGACTAGGCTCAATGTTTGAATTAATACAAATTTTATCCTGTAGCCTAGACTCAATGTTTGAATTAATACAAATGTTTTCATGTAGACTAGACTCAATGTTTGAATTAATACAAATTTTATCCTGTAGACTAGGCTCAATGTTTGAATTAATACAAATGTTTTCATGTAGACTAGGCTCAATGTTTGAATTAATACAAATTTTATCCTGTAGACTAGACTCAATGTTTGAATTAATACAAATTTTATCCTGTAGACTAAACTCAATGTTTGAATTAATAAAAATGTTTTTTTATGTAGACCTAGGCTGACATGCCAGACTCGGCTCTTGGCTTACACTACTTACAGCCCTCTTCACTTGAGGGTTGTCAGGTTTAACCTGAGCGGCTCCGGCATCTGCTCATCCAAATCTGAACGAGTCACGCTTGATATGGGAGAAAACTATGGTGGGTGTTCAATTATCTTGGTTATAGTTTAGCTGGTACAAGATTTGATCAACTATTATAAAAGGATGTGTTCACCAGATCTAGGCAAAGGTTTGCCTCTCCAATCTGATTGTGTGTTAAACACCAGTAGCCATTTGAATTGATTGTGTGTTAAACACCAGTAGCCATTTGATCTTATTGTGTGTTAAACACCAGTAGCCATTTGATCTGATTGTATGTTAAACACCAGTAGCCATTTGATCTGATTGTGCGTTAAACACCAGTAGCCATTTGATTTGATTGTGTGTTAAACACCAGTAGCCATTTGAATTGATTGTGTGTTAAACACCAGTAGCCATTTGATCTGATTGTGTGCAGTAGCCATTTGAATTGATTGTGTGTTAAACACCAGTAGCCATTTGATCTGATTGTGTGTTAAACACCAGTAGCCATTTGAATTGATTGTGTGTTAAACACCAGTAGCCATTTGATCTGATTGTGTGTTAAACACCAGTAGCCATTTGATCTGATTGTGTGTTAAACACCAGTAGCCATTTGATTTGATTGTGTGTTAAACACCAGTAGCCATTTGATCTGATTGTGTGTTAAACACCAGTAGCCATTTGAATTGATTGTGTGTTAAACACCAGTAGCCATTTGAATTGATTGTGTGTTAAACACCAGTAGCCATTTGATCTTATTGTGTGTTAAACACCAGTAGCCATTTGATCTGATTGTATGTTAAACACCAGTAGCCATTTGAATTGATTGTGTGTTAAACACCAGTAGCCATTTGATTTGATTGTGTGTTAAACACCAGTAGCCATTTGATCTTATTGTGTGTTAAACACCAGTAGCCATTTGATTTGATTGTGTGTTAAACACCAGTAGCCATTTGAATTGATTGTGTGTTAAACACCAGTAGCCATTTGATTTGATTGTGTGTTAAACACCAGTAGCCATTTGAATTAAAACCAAACTTGAACCATCCCCAGGGTACAGGAACATTTCCTGGTGTGGCCAGACTTTTGCTTACGACCTTCAGCTGTCAGTATTTGAGCTGACCTTGACCTACTATACTGGGGAAAATGGTGCTGGGAGTGGATTTGAGATTGAGTTTTCACAAGGAGGTATGTCCTGCTTGTTATGTCGTCTTCTGTCCTAGCTCTGTCCTGTCTTGTCCCAGCTCTGTCCTGTCCTGTCCCAGCTCTGTCCTGTCCCAGCTCTGTCCTGTCCCAGCTCTGTCCTGTCCTGTCCCAGCTCTGTCCTGTCCCAGCTCTGTCCTGTCCTGTCCCAGCTCTGTCCTGTCCTGTCCCAGCTCTGTCCTGTCCTGTCCCAGCTCTGTCCTGTCCTGTCCCAGCTCTGTCCTGTCCCAGCTCTGTCCTGTCCTGTCCCAGCTCTGTCCTGTCCTGTCCCAGCTCTGTCCTGTCCTGTCCCAGCTCTGTCCTGTCCCAGCTCTGTCCTGTCCCAGCTCTGTCCTGTCCTGTCCCAGCTCTGTCCTGTCCTGTCCCAGCTCTGTCCTGTCCTGTCCCAGCTCTGTCCTGTCCTGTCCCAGCTCTGTCCTGTCCCAGCTCTGTCCTGTCCTGTCCCAGCTCTGTCCTGTCCTGTCCCAGCTCTGTCCTGTCCCAGCTCTGTCCTGTCCTGTCCCAGCTCTGTCCTGTCCCAGCTCATTCCTGTCCTAGCTGTGTGCTACTAACTATGCCCCCCCCCCCCCATATTTCAGACAGAACCCAAGCACAAGATGTCCAGTGCACTAGACTCCCTGTGGCTGTAGAGCCAAGACTCTTGTACTCACCCAACTACCCAGACAACTACCAAAGGTCAGTTACTCTCAACTTTACAACATGATAACTACCAAAGGTCAGTTACTCTCAACTTTACAACATGATAACTACCAAAGGTCAGTTACTCTCAACTTTACAACATGACAACTACCAAAGGTCAGTTACTCTCAACTTTACAACATGACAACTACCAAAGGTCAGTTACTCTCAACTTTTCAACATGGATTTTACACCGCACATGTTTTCATTTGTATATTATTGAGTTGTTGGTTTCATGAATGTAGCCATTTAAAATCTTGCTTGAGCTAAGACTACAGTGTGTATACTGTCAGACAATTTTCTTGGTTTCAGTTCTGTAAGAAAACTCTACTGTCAGACAATTTTCTTGGTTTCAGTTCTGTAAGAAAACTCTACTGTCAGACAATTTTCTTGGTTTCAGTTCTGTAAGAAAACTCTACTGTCTGGAGGCAGCCAGCAATTATTACATACACGTACACTCAAGGGAGATGAATCTGGAACTTGGGTGCGGCTACGACTTTCTCAACATAAGCAATTGTAAGTTGTCAGAGCAAGAGTAGAGAACCATAGAAATATTATCTCCCTTTCAATTCTAACCATCCCTTACATTTCCATCAATCTTTCAATTCTAATCATCCCTTACATTTCCAGCAATCTTCTGTGGAAGGCAAGACATTGACATCATACTGCCCACATCATTTGCCTCATTCAAGTTTCAATCAGATGGTAATAAAGAATATCCAGGGTACATCTTAGAGTACCAGGCCATTAATGCCAGTAAGTGATATATTTGTCTTAGAGTACCAGGCCATTAATGCCAGTAAGTGATATATTTATCTTAGAGTATCTGATCATTAATGTTCGTTACTCACTACATATTTACTTAACGTACTAATTTATTGATTCCACCATATCCATGTATGTCATATCCATGTATGTCATATCCATGTATGTCATATCCATGTATGTCATATCCATGCATGTCATATCCATGTATGCCATATCCATGTATGCCATATCCATGTATGTCATATCCATGTATGTCATATCCATGTATGTCATATCCATGTATGTCATATCCATGTATGCCATATCCATGTATGTCATATCCATGTATGTCATATCCATGTATGTCATATCCATGTATGTCATATCTGTGTATGCCATATCCATGTATGCCATATCCATGTATGTCATATCCATGTATGTCATATCTATGTATGCCATATCCATGTATGTCATATCCATGTATGTCATATCCATGTATGTCATATCCATGTTTGTCATATCCATGTATGTCATATCCATGTATGCCATATCCATGTATGTCATATCCATGTATGCCATATCCATGTATGCCATATCCATGTATGTCATATCCATGTATGTCATATCCATGTATGTCATATCCATGTATGCCATATCCATGTATGTCATATCCATGTATGCCATATCCATGTATGCCATATCCATGTATGCCATATCCATGTATGCCATATCCATGTATGCCATATCCATGTATGCCATATCCATGTATGTCATATCCATGTATGTCATATCCATGTATGTCATATCCATGTATGCCATATCCATGTATGCCATATCCATGTATGTCATATCCATGTATGTCATATCCATGTATGTCATATCCATGTATGACATATCCATGTATGCCATATCCATGTATGCCATATCCATGTATGTCATATCCATGTATGTCATATCCATGTATGCCATATCCATGTATGTCATATCCATGTATGTCATATCCATGTATGTCATATCCATGTATGTCATATCCATGTATGTCATATCCATGTATGCCATATCCATGTATGCCATATCCATGTATGTCATATCCATGTATGCCATATCCATGTATGCCATATCCATGTATGTCATATCCATGTATGTCATATCCATGTATGTCATATCCATGTATGTCATATCCATGTATGCCATATCCATGTATGCCATATCCATGTATGTCATATCCATGTATGCCATATCCATGTATGCCATATCCATGTATGCCATATCCATGTATGCCATATCCATGTATGCCATATCCATGTATGCCATATCCATGTATGCCATATCCATGTATGTCATATCCATGTATGTCATATCCATGTATGTCATATCCATGTATGTCATATCCATGTATGCCATATCCATGTATGCCATATCCATGTATGTCATATCCATGTATGTCATATCCATGTATGTCATATCCATGTATGTCATATCCATGTATGCCATATCCATGTATGCCATATCCATGTATGTCATATCCATGTATGTCATATCCATGTATGTCATATCCATGTATGTCATATCCATGTATGTCATATCCATGTATGTCATATCCATGTATGTCATATCCATGTATGTCATATCCATGTATGTCATATCCATGTATGTCATATCCATGTATGTCATATCCATGTATGTCATATCCATGTATGTCATATCCATGTATGTCATATCCATGTATGTCATATCCATGTATGTCATATCCATGTATGTCATATCCATGTATGTCTGTAGCCCAGTCAAGTCTGTCACTGACATTGACACTGACACTGAATGTTTTGTTTCAGCAACTTTGACGTGTACCTCCAACAGAACTGTCACTGCCACTGACATTGACACTGACATTAAATGTTTTGTTTCAGTAACTTTGACGTGTGCCTCCAACAGAACTGTCACTGCCACTGACATTGACACTGACATTAAATGCTTTGTTTCAGCAACTTTGACGTGTGCCTACAACAGAACTGTCACTGCCACTGACATTGAAACAGTTTTATACCTGGTCAACATGACACAGAGGTAAAATTTTCATCTCTAGTTTAGGTGCTATTGCAGTTAACCCTACAGGTGTGGTTTATGTTAACCCTATAGCTGTTGTTCATGTTAACCCTTTAGCTGTGTGTCATGTTTTTGCTAACTGTTTATGTTTCTTATTTATGACATCACATGTCAAGACACCAATCTGCTGATTTGTGCCTTGTCATCTGTTTTTGTCCTTTAGGCTCCATTCTACTTCCTTCTTGTACTAAAAATAGCTGGATGTACAAGCAAGACCATGCAGCCAAACACAATTTTCAGGGGATTCAATATCCTACTCCAGTTATCAACACAACATGCATATCATTACATACATTTTGCAAAAAAAAAAGATGTATTGATAGTGTTTGTAATATGTGATGTTTTGCTCACAGTGGGGATGATACAAATTCATCTAGAATATTCCATCTAAGCTGCGCAGTCACATTGCAGCGCAGTAGTTGTAAACCTGCAGTTAATTTGTGAAATACAAATGACCTTGAATAGGTCATATCAGAGCACCACACAGTCAAAAAATATTTCCAAACCAGCTTTAGGAGGGGGGGGGGGGGGGTCCCTCTATTGCTCACTTACCTGAAATTTTAAGGCACAACATGTGTGGTTGTTGTCAGTTGAGTTTCTGATGTGAGTTTCTCCCCAACTTTCTCCAGGTGCGCTGTTGTTGTTGACTCTGGCTCGGATGACAAGGTGCTCAGTCTAAATCTCAACAACCCCCAGCACATGGACATCTTTATAGACAACAGTAAGTTTAGACCATCAGAATAGACAACAGTAAGTTTAGACCATCAGAATAGACAACAGTAAGTTTAGACCATCAGAATTTTATAGACAACAATAAGTTTAGACCATCAGAATAGACAACAGTAAGTTTAGACCATCAGAATTTTATAGACAACAGTAAGTTTAGACCATCAAAATTTTATTGACAACAGTAAGTTTAGACCATCAGAATTTTATAGACAACAGTTTAGACCATCAGAATTTTATAGACAACAGTAAGTTTAGACCATCAGAAAAGACAACAGTAAGTTTAGACCATCAGAATAGACAACAGTAAGTTTAGACCATCAGAATTTTATAGACAACAGTAAGTTTAGACCATCAGAATTTTATAGACAACAGTAAGTTTAGACCATCAGAATAGACAACAGTAAGTTTAGACCATCAGAATAGACAACAGTAAGTTTAGACCATCAGAATTTTATAGACAACAGTTTAGACCATCAGAATAGACATCAGTAAGTTTAGACCATCAGAATTTTATAGACAACAGTAAGTTTAGACCATCAGAATTTTATAGACAACAGTAAGCTTAGACCATCAGAATAGACAACAGTAAGTTTAGACCATCAGAATTTTATAGACAACAGTAAGTTTAGACCATCAGAATAGACAACAGTAAGTTTAGACCATCAGAATAGACAACAGTAAGTTTAGACCATCAGAATAGACAACAGTTTAGACCATCAGAATAGACAACAGTTTAGACCATCAGAATAGACAACAGTTTAGACCATCAGAATTTTATAGACAACAGTAAGTTTAGACCATCAGAATAGACAACAGTAAGTTTAGACCATCAGAATAGACAACAGTAAGTTTAGACCATCAGAATTTTATAGACAACAGTAAGTTTAGACCATCAGAATAGACAACAGTAAGTTTAGACCATCAGAATTTTATAGACAACAGTTTAGACCATCAGAATTTTATAGACAACAGTAAGTTTAGACCATCAGAATAGACAACAGTAAGTTTAGACCATCAGAATTTTATAGACAACAGTTTAGACCATCAGAATTTTATAGACAACAGTAAGTTTAGACCATCAGAATTTTATAGACAACAGTAAGTTTTTAAAATTATGTCCAGCAAATGAACTACAATATTTTAGAAATAGATTGCAGTTTTTTCTAAACAGCCAATCACTGTTTGTCTTACAAAAGTAAACTTCAGGTTACAATTAAAGCCTGATAAAAATAAACGGGAAAAAATTATTTTTAAGTTCTCTGCAGTAGAGACGTTTATAATTTTGATTCGTGAAACATTAATTTCTGTAATTTTTTCAGGATAACATTGTATTTTTAAAGGGTGCTTAGAAGAAACTACTGACAAAAGAAATTTATCCATGTCCAGAATGATGATAGAAGCCTTTAGTCAAACTTGTTGTTGTCCATTATGTTTCAGAGAAGATTTTGTTGGAGGCTAAACACATGCTCACACCTGGACGGCAGGTGTTTATTCAGGTGTCACCGGCCTGGTTTCAGGACACGGCATTGACCTGGTTCATGACAGTACAGGCCGTCAATACAAGTAAGTGATGACCTCTATACACACCTAGGTGACCTGACTGGACACGGCATTGACCTCATCACAGTACAGGCCGTCAATACAAGTAAGTGATGACCTCTATACACACCTAGGTGACCTGACTGGACACGGCATTGACCTCATCACAGTACAGGCCGTCAATACAAGTAAGTGATGACCTCTATACCGTGCGGCGTCAATTCGGCCAATGACGAAACGGCCCCGTCAAAACGACCCCGACAAAACGACCCCGTCAAAACGACCCCGTCAAATCGGCCCCGTCAAAAGGGCCAGCGACATATGGACCCCGTCATATAGGCTCCCGACAAATAGGCTCCCGTCATTTAGGCTACCGACAAATAGGCTCCCGTTATATAGGCTCCCGACAAAAGGGCTCCAGTCAATAAGGCTCCTGACAAATAGGCTCCCGTCATTTTGGCTCCCGACATATAGTCTCCCGTCATTTAGTTTTTTCCACAAAACGGCCCCCGTCATTACGACTCCCGACAAATAGGCTCCCGCCATTTAGTTTCTCCACAAAACGGCCCCCGTCATTACGACTCCCGACAAATAGGCTAGCGTCATTTTGGCTCCCGACAAAAAGGCTCCTGTCAATTTGGCTCCAGACAAAAGGACCACTGACACAGTGGTGTAGCTACCGTAAAGCTAGCGTAAGCAAGGCATGGGGGCCCAAGGCACATAGTGGCCCTTTTCCCTCATAAAAAATTAAAACTTTTACAATGGAATTTTAATATTTGTTACATATAAATAATTTTACAAAAGAAAAAGGTTAAAAGTTCCAAAAAGCCCCCCCCCCCCCCCCACCGTTTCGGCAGTGGGATTCAGTGTTTGTGGGTCAAACAGAGCCCAATCGTTATAATAACACTACAGGCTATATCACTTTGTCGTGCAAGACATTGAGAGAATCAGCCTATAAATAAACTTTTTAGCAGTAGTAGGCAAGCATAATAATATAGTATAAATACAAAATCAGGACATATAAAATACAAAATGTTGCCTTCAGAATATTTATATATTAAAAAATATCCATCGTAAGTAGAAGTTGATCTCTTCGTTTAACTCCTCTGTAGCCTAACGCAGAGGCGTAGCGAAGGCGAGGCGGGGGGTGCGGACCGCAACGGGTGACACCATTTAGGGGGGGGGGTGACACCAAAGGCAAAAAATTGTAAAATTTATAGAATGAAATGCCCTTTTCCAGATCCATTAGTTAAAGTTAAATAGTCTTCTAAGTACAAATCGAAAATTATATCAAGAGGGGGGGGGGGGGGGTGTGACACCACGACGTAAACGTAAACTATAAAGAAAACAATGCTACATCCAACTGTATTATAAACAGACTGTAGATAAACATCGTTACTATTAAGTCAGCAGTGATTAAAGCTTAAACACGTACGTGTACCAGTATGTGGCATATATATAAATTTTAGGCCTATGTAGGCCGACACGCATACTCACACACACACACACACACACACACACACATATATATATATATATATATATATATATATATATATATATATATATATATATATATATATATATATACTTTGTTTCCTGGGAGGGGGGTGACAATACGAAGTGCCGCACCGGGTGAGACCCGACCTAGCGACGCCACTGGCCTAACGGCTGACGAAGGGGCCCACTGATAATTTTTGCATAGGGGCCCAAAAATCCTAGCTACGCCACTGCACTGACAATACCGTTTCTGTAGAGACTAAGTCTCCCGGCAAAGCGGTCTCGTTGAATATGACATCTGCCAGTGGGACCCCTTCATCAATATTCTTTAGAGCTAGCTTATCCAACAATCTTATGTAATACAACGTATGCATCTCTTGTTCAGCTGGCCTTATTTTTATATTAGTTTATCTATTATAAAATATAGTATGTTTTAATTTAAGGGTCATCTATCTATGACATCCATAATTGAGTCGGTTATAGGCTGTTCCAACTCATTGTGTGGGGAGAAGGGTCCACGCTGTACCTTCCTAACTGCAATATGCTTGTACAGGGGCGTAGCGAGGGGGGGGGGGTGCGGACCGCACCGGGTGACACCATTTAGAGGGGTGACACCAAGGCAAAAAATAGCAAAATATATGGAGAAAAAGTTGAGGGGGTGGGGGTGCAAATCGAAAGTTTGGGGGGGGGGGGGGGTGCAAATCGAAAACTTGAAAGTTTGTCCCCGGGAAGGGTCGCAACGCCTCTGGGGGGGGGTGACACCATTAAGTGCCGCACCGGGTGACACCCAACCTCGCTACGCCACTGTGCTTGTAGGTTATCAAAACAAAATGCTGTTATCATGTTAACATCATGTATATCATACATTTACACTTCTGTGCTCGCTTTTAAGCAACAGATCTTTTCTGTTGTAAATTAAACATTATCAAAACTTTAGAATTGGTGGAATTTAGCTGTTAAGGGCTCGATTTGTTTGTGAATTAATGTTGATTCATGAAAAAATAATTTCATTCGGGCATTAAAAAGAGGTTATGGTGGTATTGGAGGTAGGACACAATGGTTACTTTTATGCCAATAGTGGTCATATCATTCATTTTTCTGGAGCCAATATGTCGGGAGTCATTTTGTCAAAAGCCAATATGTCGAGAGCCCAATTACCGGGAGCCAATATGTCGGGAGCCCATTTGTCGGTAGCCAAAATGTCGTGAGCCCATTTGCCGGAAGCCCATTTGTCTTGAGCCCTTATGTCGGGAGCCAATATGTCGGGAGCCGCTTTGTCGGGAGCCAATATGTCCTGAGCCTATTTGTCAGGGGTTAATATGTCGGGAGTCCATTTGTCGGGAGCCTAAATATCGGGAGCCCATTTGTCGGGAGCCTATATGTCGCAAGTCAATATGACGGGAGCCCATTTGACGGGAGCCAATAAGTCGGGGCCCTTTTGACGGGGCTATTTTGACGGGGTCGGTTTGTCGGGAGTCGATTTGACGGGGTCGTATTAACGGGGCCGTTTTGACGGGGCCGATTTGTCCCGGGCCGTTTTGACAGGGCACCCCTCTATACACACCTAGGTGACCTGACTGGACACGGCATTGACCTCATCACAGTACAGGCCGTCAATACAAGTAAGTGATGACCTCTATACACACCTAGGTGACCTGACTGGACACGGCATTGACCTCATCACAGTACAGGCCGTCAATACAAGTAAGTGATGACCTCTATACACACCTAGGTGACCTGACTGGACACGGCATTGACCTCATCACAGTACAGGCTGTCAATACTAGTCAGTTATGAGAAAATCAACTTTGAACTTGATTTTTTATTTTAAACTAAATTACTAATATTTCCAAGTGTTTTTAAACTCTGTATTATTTATATAACTAAATTAAACTCTGGCTTTAATTAAATTGATTACAAAAGTTTGGAAATTTGAAGGATTCTCAATATAAATAAGCCTTATGGGTTAGCTTGCAGATTAAACCTTCATCTTTTTATATGTGTATGAAATATAAATGTGTGCTGTAAGAATAGCATTTTTTTAATTACACTTACAACCTCATCATAAGGTCATAAGATTACATAATAAGGTCACACCAAGCTCACACATCATGTGTTGAGGGAAAGTTGACCTAAATGGTGTGTGACATGTGTGTTGAGGGATAGTTGACCTAAATGGTGTGTGACATGTGTGTTGAGGGAAAGTTGACCTAAATGGTGTGTGACATGTGTGTTGAGGTAAAGTTGACCTAAATGGTGTGTGACACATGTGTTGAGGGAAAGTTGACCTAAATGGTGTGTGACATGTGTGTTGAGGTAAAGTTGACCTAAATGGTGTGTGACATATGTGTTGAGGTATAGTTGACCTAAATGGTGTGTGACATGTGTGTTGAGGTATAGTTGACCTAAATGGTGTGTGACACATGTGTTGAGGGAAAGTTGACCTAAATGGTGTGTGACACATGTGTTGAGGGAAAGTTGACCTAAATGGTGTGTGACATGTGTGTTGAGGTAAAGTTGACCTAAATGGTGTGTGACATGTGTGTTGAGGTATAGTTGACCTAAATGGTGTGTGACACATGTGTTGAGGGAAAGTTGACCTAAATGGTGTGTGACATGTGTGTTGAGGTATAGTTGACCTAAATGGTGTGTGACACATGTGTTGAGGGAAAGTTGACCTAAATGGTGTGTGACATGTGTGTTGAGGGAAAGTTGACCTAAATGGTGTGTGACATGTGTTGAGGGAAAGTTGACCTAAATGGTGTGTGACACATGTGTTGAGGGAAAGTTGACCTAAATGGTGTGTGACACATGTGTTGAGGGAAAGTTGACCTAAATGGTGTGTGACATGTGTGTTGAGGGAAAGTTGACCTAAATGGTGTGTGACACATGTGTTGAGGGAAAGTTGACCTAAATGGTGTGTGACATGTGTGTTGAGGGAAAGTTGACCTAAATGGTGTGTGACACATGTGTTGAGGGAAAGTTGACCTAAATGGTGTGTGACATGTGTTGAGGTGTGTGACACATCAGAAGCCTCACATTGAAAACTTTGTTTCAGATTTTGTCCCTGCCTTAGCAGGCAACAGCTCGTTAGTCTGGCTCAGTGGCAACTTAATGAGGTGAGCTTTTGTCTTCCAAGATTATAGCTAGTTTTGGCAGAGATAGAAATTATCTAGTTTCGTATATATTACAGCTTAAGTTTTGCTATATTACAGCTAGAGTGTTAGCTATAATTTAGCTACTGCTAGCTCTAGTTTAGCTATGGCTGAAACCAAGTAGTCTGACATTGAACCAAGTAGTCTGACCTTGAACCAAGTAGCCTGACAGCCTTGAACCAAGTAGTCTGACCTTGAACCAAGTTGTCTGACCTTGAACCAAGTAGTCTGACCTTGAACCAAGTTGTCTGACCTTGAACCAAGTAGTCTGACCTTGAACTGATCACATGTTTTATCACAGGGAGCAGGTGAGAATCCAGTCCTTCGCTGATCTACAGCTCCAGGTGTTCTCTCTGACAGGTGTTTCAGCGACGCAAGTAAAACCCATGACAGTTTCTGAATACCTGGCAGTGTATCAAGGTAGTTTTAGTGTTGTCATACCTAGCTCTGTATCAAGGTAGTTTTAGTGTTGTCATACCTAGCTCTGTATCAAGGTAGTTTTAGTGTTGTCATACCTAGCTCTGTATCAAGGTAGTATTGAGTTATTTCCCCCCCCCCAGGATTGTCATGATACCAGTTATTTCCCCTGATTGTCATTATACCAGTTATTTCCCCTGATTGTAATTTGTTGGGTTCCTCAATGTCTAGGGGTATATATATATATATAGCAACAGACAAACACAACGTATACAACAATAGATACCACTCACACTCTATAATAATAGTAATAAGAGATTTTATATATATACAGTAATAAAATAATAAAAGATCAAAGGGGTCTACAACATAAATAACAATACTCAACAACACGTTCCACAGCCACACTACAACTAACTGCTTCACACACTAGCACACGCTCTGACACCCGTCACTTGGCACACTTCACGTGAACACTTCTCTCTCCATGTAAACACACTCAACCAAGGGCTACAACTATACACAAAAAGGATGGTACCTTTACAACACACACACACAATCAATGGACATGTAAGGGACGTAACAGTCATCGTACTAGTTATTCCCCCTGATTGTCATGATACCAGTTATTCCCCCAGATTGTCATGATACCAGTTATTCCCCCTGATTGTCATGATATAAGTTATTCCCCTTTGCAGGTCCTGACTCGAGTTATTTTGAACTAACCAGTGACTGTAATGGTGATATCTTGATGAGTGATAAAGTTCAAAGTTTAAGGTCACTGATAGAAAAAATAGCTGGAACCACAGCTCAAGAACAGGATGGCATTTTGACCACGGAGTATTTGACCATTACCTTCAGGTACCTGACATTTACCAGTCGTTGACATTTACCTGCCAGTAGCTGACATTTACCTGCCAGTAGCTGACATTTACCTGCCAGTAGCTGACATTTACCAGTAGTTGACATTTACCTGTAGTTGACATTTACCTTTAGGTGCTTACAGTTACCATTCTGGTGCTGAAAAAAAAAATTTGTTGAATTTTTTTATTTAGTTCACAATGTACAACCCACTTTTTATGCATAAAAAATGTTTCAAACACTACAGATACATTTTGTCACAAGACATTTTCAGCTTTAGAGATAACTTTATTAGCTTTTAGTTCAACCTTAGGTTGCTCATCAAATCTCTAAAACATTTTAGCCAAATCTAAAAAATTACTTTTACTTCTCTGTGCATGTAAAATTTTATGTTATAAAGTTTTTTTAAAGTTGTTTCTTGAGTAAATAGTTGTGTATAAAAAAAATGTTTCAGAAAAAAATCTGAGGATGGTATCTGGCTCTACATCACGGAGGCTGGTAAGTTTGTTCTGTGCCAGATGTATGGCTGTAGTTATCACAGTAGGCTCAAATTTGTTTGACTTTAGATAAAATCTGCTTGCTCTAAATCTCACACTTTTGATGTAAATCTTGGAATGTTGATGTAAATCTTGGCATGTTGATGTAAATTTTGGCATGTTGATGTAAATCTTGTAATGTTGATGTAAATCTTGGCATGTTGATGTAAATTTTGGCATGTTGATGTAAATCTTGTCATGTTGATGTAAATCTTGGCTTGTTGGTGTAAATCTTGGCTTGTTGTAAATCTTGACTTGTTTATGTAAATCTTGACTTGTTGGTGTAATTCTTGGCTTGTTGTAAATCTTGGCATGTTGATGTAAATCTTGACTTGATGTAAATCTTGGCTTGTTGTAAATCTTGGCATGTTGATGTAAATCTTGGCTTGTTGTAAATCTTGGCATGTTGATGTAAATCTTGACTTGTTGTAAATCTTGGCTTGTAAATCTTGGCATGTTGATGTAAATCTTGTCATGTTGGTGTAAATCTTGGCTTGTTGGTGTAAATCTTGGCTTGTTGGTGTAAATCTTGGCATGTTGGTGTAAATCTTGGCATGTTGATGTAAATCTTGACTTGTTGTAAATCTTGGCATGTCAGCTCTCTATTACCTGGCATGTTTTTATCAGATTCTCCATGGCAACCAAAAACCAAATTTCCTGGTGAAGATATTGCATTCAACAGCAGATTTATGAGCAATGTCAAAACAAAGTAAGTAGCCACTAGCTACCATGGTCAGCACAAAGTAGCCACTAGCTACCATGGTCAACACAAAGTAGCCACTAGCTACCATGGTCAACACAAAGTAGCCATTAGCTAACATGGTCAGCACAAAGTAGCCACTAGCTACCATGGTCAACACAAAGTAGCCACTAGCTACCATGGTCAACACAAAGTAGCCACTAGCTAACATGGTCAGCACAATGTAGCCACTAGCTAACATGGTCAACACAATGTAGCCACTAGCTACCATGGTCAACACAAAGTAGCCACTAGCTAACATGGTCAACACAAAGTAGCCACTAGCTACCACCATGGCCAACACAAAGTAGCCACTAGCTAACATGGTCAACACAAAGTAGCCACTAGCTAACATGGTCAGCACAATGTAGCCACTAGCTAACATGGTCAACACAATGTAGCCACTAGCTACCATGGTCAACACAAAGTAGCCACTAGCTAACATGGTCAACACAAAGTAGCCACTAGCTACCATGGTCAACACAAAGTAGCCACTAGCTAACATGGTCAACACAATGTAGCCATTAGCTAACATGGTCAGCACAAAGTAGCCACTAGCTAACATGGTCAACACAAAGTAGCCACTAGCCAACATGGTCAACACAAAGTAGCCACTAGCCAACATGGTCAACACAAAGTAGCCACTAGCTAACATGGTCAACACAATGTAGCCACTAGCTACCATGGTCAACACAAAGTAGCCACTAGCTAACATGGTCAACACAATGTAGCCACTAGCCAACATGGTCAACACAAAGTAGCCACTAGCTAACATGGTCAACACAAAGTAGCCACTAGCTAACATGGTCAACACAAAGTAGCCACTAGCTACCATGGTCAACACAAAGTAGCCACTAGCTAACATGGTCAACACAATGTAGCCATTAGCTAACATGGTCAGCACAAAGTAGCCACTAGCTAACATGGTCAACACAAAGTAGCCACTAGCCAACATGGTCAACACAAAGTAGCCACTAGCCAACATGGTCAACACAAAGTAGCCACTAGCTAACATGGTCAACACAATGTAGCCACTAGCTACCATGGTCAACACAAAGTAGCCACTAGCTAACATGGTCAACACAATGTAGCCACTAGCCAACATGGTCAACACAAAGTAGCCACTAGCTAACATGGTCAACACAAAGTAGCCACTAGCTACCATGGTCAACACAAAGTAGCCACTAGCTACCATGGTCAACACAAAGTAGCCACTAGCTAACATGGTCAGCACAATGTAGCCACTAGCTAACATGGTCAACACAATGTAGCCACTAGCTACCATGGTCAACACAAAGTAGCCACTAGCTAACATGGTCAACACAAAGTAGCCACTAGCTACCATGGTCAACACAAAGTAGCCACTAGCTAACATGGTCAACACAATGTAGCCATTAGCTAACATGGTCAGCACAAAGTAGCCACTAGCTAACATAGTCAACACAAAGTAGCCACTAGCCAACATGGTCAACACAAAGTAGCCACTAGCTACCATGGTCAACACAAAGTAGCCACTAGCTAACATGGTCAACACAAAGTAGCCACTAGCTACCATGGTCAACACAAAGTAGCCACTAGCTAACATGGTCAACACAATGTAGCCACTAGCCAACATGGTCAACACAAAGTAGCCACTAGCTAACATGGTCAACACAAAGTAGCCACTAGCTAACATGGTCAACACAAAGTAGCCACTAGCTACCATGGTCAACACAAAGTAGCCACTAGCTAACATGATCCCTTTACATAAGGTGATGTTGTACATTAACTCAAAATTAGGTCATTAATGTCTTCACATGAATTAGGTTATGAATGTCTTGTCATGAAAGTTAAGTTTTCCCAACAAAATGTTTCAGGAACCTGTACTGTAGCTGGGAGGTCAAGGTCACCAAAGAGATCGTCCAGATCACTGCTGACAGCAACTTTGCACCCTTCCAACTTGGTCGGCATAACTCATTTCTTGTGGAACAAGGTCAGAAGGTCAAACATGGCGCTGTCATTCTCTCCCACAAACATGGCGCTGTCATTCTCTCCCACAAACATGGCGCTGTCATTCTCTCACACAAACATGCCGCTGTCATTCTCTCCCACAAACATGTCGCTGTCATTCACTCACACAAACATGTCACTGTCATTCTCTCACACAAACATGTCGCTGTCATTCTCTCTCACTCGGGGAGTGTGTGGCACAGATTCAGATAAGCTACTCTCTAGGATGTGATCAGTACAGTGGCTGCGCTCACAGAACTAAATATTTTTAGCGCAATTTCCATTCTGGAGAATTGCGTTTATCAACCCGTCATTTCTGGATGTATGAATGAATGGATGTGTGTTCGCAGCTTTAAGTCGTATCTCCTCCTCAACGAAGCAATATCGAGGACTAGTTCCAAAAGCAATTATGTTAAGCAAGTTACGAGGATGATTGTGGGCTAAAAAAATTCCGGGTTTCTTTCATGGATTTCCCGGAAAAGCCAAAAAACCTAAAAAAAATGCAGTTTTTGGCCCATATCTCGGCAACCAGACCACTTAGCGACTTGAAACATGTACCAATCGATTCCTGCTTGAATTTAGAACAATATTGCCGAAGAAAGTTTTCAAAAATATCCTTTCGTTCGGTCACAAAAAATTTTTTGAATTAATTAAAATTTGGACCGAATTAGTGGGCATGCTTATCCAACCACACCACACGCGTTATCACGTTCAATAGCTGCGTCATCACGTTCAATGGCTGCGTCATCACGTTCAGTAGCTAGGCGCGCAATGGTTTTTAGTCATGTAACTCTATTGTAAATAAAACATGTATTTTAACCAATGGTTTTACTAACCCTGCTCTTGATTTAGGCTACGACAGAGCTATTTTTAGATGACATAAGGAAATTGCGCTAAAATTGTCACTAGACTTTTTAATTACCTTGTTTTGTTTCCAGTTGTGAACTCAGCCTCAGCCGTCCTGGCCAGATTTGATCAGTTTGACAAGCCGAGCCAAAAGATTGTTTACTCCCAGCTGCCAGTTGTCATCCACGTTGTTGTAGTCCAGGATGTGGAGCCTCGGTTTGAGTTCAGATGTTACCAGGACTATCTCTCTAGTAAACACACATTCATTCTCTCAAGTCAGTCATTCATTCAGTCATTCATTTAGTTGTTCATTCAGTTGTTCATTCATTCAGTCCTTCATTCATTCAGTCATTCATTCAGTTGTTCATTCATTCAGTCATTCATTCAGTCTTTCATTCATTCAGTCATTCATTCAGTTGTTCATTCAGTCAATCATTTAGTTGTTCATTCATTCAGTCCTTAATTCATTAAGTCAGTCCACAGTGCCCTGTGTCAACAAATTATGCTGACACCCATTCATTCAGTCAGTGCCCTGTGTCAACAAATTATGCTGACACCCATTCATTCAGTCAGTCCACAGTGCCCTGTGTCAACAAATTATGCTGACACCCATTCCTTCATCCATTCAGTCAGTATTCAGTGCCCTGTGTCAACAAATTATGCTGACACCCATTCATTCAGTCAGTCCACAGTGCCCTGTGTCAACAAATTATGCTGACACCCATTCATCATTCATGTTCAACTGTAGTCACCAGGATATTTTCCTGTCATGTCATCTATGTAATGATCTGTGACATTTGTGTAATGTCATGAATCATGTGGAGCATTTCATTTGATTTTGTCTCCATTTCCAAATACAGATATCAAGCAGTGTCTTGATTTTGGCACTTTTTCAACCAACACATCTAAAGTAGTTGTATCAACCCCCAACTACCCCAGCTTTTATTTGAGGTGAGTCCCCCACACACCACACACACCCACACACCCACACACACACCACACACACATCTAAAGTAGTTGTATCAACCCCCAACTACCCCAGTTTTTACTTGAGGTGAGTCAACCCCACACACCCTCGCTCCACACACACACCTACATACCACACACAACCACATTTACATGTAAAGTTGTCCCAGACCTCTACTTGCTGACCCATGCCTCTACTTGTTGACCTGTAACTCTCTACTTGCTGACCTGTAACTCTCTACTTGCTGACCTGTAACTCTCTACTTGCTGACCTGTAACTCTACTTGTTGACCTGTAACTCTACTTGCTGACCTGTAACTCTACTTGCTGACCTGTAACTCTACTTGCTGACCTGTAACTCTACTTGCTGACCTGTAACTCTACTTGCTGACCTGTAACTCTACTTGCTGACCTGTAACTCTACTTGCTGACCTGTAACTCTACTTGCTGACCTGTGCCTCTACTTGCTGACCCATGTCTCTACTTGCTGACCTGTAACTCTACTTGTTGACCTGTAACTCTACTTGCTGACCTGTAACTCTACTTGCTGACCCATGTCTCTACTTGCTGACCCATGTCTCTACTTGCTGACCTGTAACTCTACTTGTTGACCTGTAACTCTACTTGCTGACCTGTAACTCTACTTGTTGACCTGTAACTCTACTTGCTGACCTGTAACTCTACTTGCTGACCTGTGCCTCTACTTGCTGACCCATGTCTCTACTTGCTGACCCATGTCTCTACTTGCTGACCCATGTCTCTACTTGCTGACCTGTAACTCTACTTGTTGACCTGTAATTCTACTTGCTGACCTGTAACTCTACTTGCTGACCCATGTCTCTACTTGCTGACCCATGTCTCTACTTGCTGACCTGTAACTCTACTTGTTGACCTGTAACTCTACTTGCTGACCTGTAACTCTACTTGCTGACCCATCTCTCTACTTGCTGACCTGTAACTCTACTTGTTGACCTGTAACTCTACTTGCTGACCTGTGCCTCTACTTGCTGACCCATGTCTCTACTTGCTGACCCATGTCTCTACTTGCTGACCTGTAACTCTACTTGCTGACCTGTGCCTCTACTTGCTGACCCATGTCTCTACTTGCTGACCTGTAACTCTACTTGCTGACCTGTAACTCTACTTGCTGACCTGTAACTCTACTTGTTGACCTGTAACTCTACTTGCTGACCTGTAACTCTACTTGCTGACCCATGTCTCTACTTGCTGACCCATGTCTCTACTTGCTGACCTGTAACTCTACTTGCTGACCCATGTCTCTACTTGCTGACCCATGTCTCTACTTGCTGACCCATGTCTCTACTTGCTGACCCATGCCTCTACTTGCTGACCTGTAACTCTACTTGCTGACCTGTAACTCTACTTGCTGACCTGTAACTCTACTTGCTGACCCATGCCTCTACTTGCTGACCCATGTCTCTACTTGCTGACGCGTGCCACTATGTTTCAGTGACTGCCACTGTTCCTGGACTATACGTCGTGATGTCACCCAGTACACAGCAACTGTCATTGAGTTTCCTGAGATCACATACAACATGTGTGGGCAGGGTGTCAACACAGGACCTCTCACCATCTCCACAAGTACGTACAGAACAACCACCACGTACAGGCTTTATGTGTAGTTTCCTGACTGTCATATATGTGTTGTCTATCACTTATATCAAAAGTATATCACCAGTTCAGTGTATCACCAGTCCAACATCACCAGTTCAGTGTATCACCACTCTAACATATCACCTGTCTAACATATCCCCAGTGCAGTGTATCACCACTCTAACATATCACCAGTTCAGTGTATCACCACTCTAACATATCACCAGTTCAGTGTATCACCACTCTAACGTATCACCAGTTCAGTGTATCACCACTCTAACATATCACCAGTTCAGTGTATCACCACTCTAACATATCACCAGTTCAGTGTATCACCACTCTAACATATCACCAGTTCAGTGTATCACCACTCTAACATATCACCAGTTCAGTGTATCACCACTCTAACATATCACCAGTTCAGTGTATCACCACTCTAACATATCACCAGTTCAGTGTATCACCACTCTAACATATCACCAGTTCAGTGTATCACCACTCTAACATATCACCAGTTCAGTGTATCACCACTCTAACGTATCACCAGTTCAGTGTATCACCACTCTAACATATCACCAGTTCAGTGTATCACCACTCTAACATATCACCAGTTCAGTGTATCACCACTCTAACATATCACCAGTTCAGTGTATCACCACTCTAACATATCACCAGTTCAGTGTATCACCACTCTAACATATCACCAGTTCAGTGTATCACCACTCTAACATATCACCAGTTCAGTGTATCACCACTCTAACATATCACCAGTTCAGTGTATCACCACTCTAACATATCACCAGTTCAGTGTATCACCACTCTAACATATCACCAGTTCAGTGTATCACCACTCTAACATATCACCAGTTCAGTGTATCACCACTCTAACATATCACCAGTTCAGTGTATCACCACTCTAACATATCACCAGTTCAGTGTATCACCACTCTAACATATCACCAGTTCAGTGTATCACCACTCTAACATGTGAGCTGAGGTCAGCCTTTGTCCCCTCAGGTAACTCAGGTAAAGACTTCACCAGCGCTGCTGAGATTTGTCAGACTGGCAGCTTCACCCAAACTTTCACAGACAAATTTGTCCGGGTGGACTTTACAGCAGAGCATCAAGTCAAGCCAGGCTTTCAGTTCTACTTCAGTCACCAAGGTCAGATGACTTACATGCTTGTTTCATTTTTCACCATAATTTTTGTGTTAGCACATTTTGTGATGTGTTCTGTAGACCTAACCCACATCTCCCCACCATGTTTTGTGTACCAGTTTGTGATGTGTTCTGTAGACCTAACCCACATCTCCCCACCATGTTTTGTGTACCAGTTTGTGATGTGTTCTGTAGACCTAACCCACATCTCCCATGTTTTGTGTACCAGTTTGTGATGTGTTCTGTAGACCTAACCCACATCTCCCCACCATGTTTTGTGTACCAGTTTGTGATGTGTTCTGTAGACCTAACCCACATCTCCCCACCATGTTTTGTGTACCAGTTTGTGATGTGTTCTGTAGACCTAACCCACATCTCCCATGTTTTGTGTACCAGTTTGTGATGTGTTCTGTAGACCTAACCCACATCTCCCCACCATGTTTTGTGTACCAGTTTGTGATGTGTTCTGTAGACCTAACCCACATCTCCCCACCATGTTTTGTGTACCAGTTTGTGATGTGTTCTGTAGACCCACATCTCCCATGTTTTGTGTACCAGTTTGTGATGTGTTCTGTAGACCTAACCCACATCTCCCCACCATGTTTTGTGTACCAGTTTGTGATGTGTTCTGTAGACCTAACCCACATCTCCCATGTTTTGTGTACCAGTTTGTGATGTGTTCTGTAGACCTAACCCACATCTCCCCACCATGTTTTGTGTACCAGTTTGTGATGTGTTCTGTAGACCTAACACACATCTCCCATGTTTTGTGTACCAGTTTGTGATGTGTTCTGTAGACCTAACACACATCTCCCCACCATGTTTTGTGTACCAGTTTGTGATGTGTTCTGTAGACCTAACCCACATCTCCCCACCATGTTTTGTGTACCAGTTTGTGATGTGTTCTGTAGACCTAACCCACATCTCCCCACCATGTTTTGTGTACCAGTTTGTGATGTGTTCTGTAGACCTAACCCACATCTCCCATGTTTTGTGTACCAGTTTGTGATGTGTTCTGTAGACCTAACCCACATCTCCCCACCATGTTTTGTGTACCAGTTTGTGATGTGTTCTGTAGACCTAACCCACATCTCCCCACCATGTTTTGTGTACCAGTTTGTGATGTGTTCTGTAGACCTAACCCACATCTCCCCACCATGTTTTGTGTACCAGTTTGTGATGTGTTCTGTAGACCTAACCCACATCTCCCATGTTTTGTGTACCAGTTTGTGATGTGTTCTGTAGACCTAACCCACATCGCCCCACCATGTTTTGTGTACCAGTTTGTGATGTGTTCTGTAGACCTAACCCACATCGCCCCACCATGTTTTGTGTACCAGTTTGTGATGTGTTCTGTAGACCTAACACACATCTCCCCACCATGTTTTGTACCAGTTTGTGATGTGTTCTGTAGACCTAACCCACATCTCCCCACCATGTTTTGTGTACCAGTTTGTGATGTGTTCTGTAGACCTAACCCACATCTCCCCACCATGTTTGTGTACCAGTTTGTGATGTGTTCTGTAGACCTAACCCACATCTCCCATGTTTTGTGTACCAGTTTGTGATGTGTTCTGTAGACCTAACCCACATCTCCCCACCATGTTTTGTGTACCAGTTTGTGATGTGTTCTGTAGAACTAACCCACATCTTCCCACCTTGGTTTGTGTACCATTTTTTGATGTGTTCTGTAGACCTAACCCACATCTCCCCACCATGTTTTGTGTACCAGTTTGTGATGTGTTCTGTAGACCTAACCCACATCTCCCCACCATGTTTTGTGTACCAGTTTGTGATGTGTTCTGTAGACCTAACCCACATCTCCCATGTTTTGTGTACCAGTTTGTGATGTGTTCTGTAGACCTAACCCACATCTCCCCACCATGTTTTGTGTACCAGTTTGTGATGTGTTCTGTAGACCTAACCCACATCTCCCCACCATGTTTTGTGTACCAGTTTGTGATGTGTTCTGTAGACCTAACCCACATCTCCCCACCATGTTTTGTGTACCAGTTTGTGATGTGTTCTGTAGACCTAACCCACATCTCCCCACCATGTTTTGTGTACCAGTTTGTGATGTGTTCTGTAGACCTAACCCACATCTCCCCACCATGTTTTGTGTACCAGTTTGTGATGTGTTCTGTAGACCTAACCCACATCTCCCCACCATGTTTTGTGTACCAGTTTGTGATGTGTTCTGTAGACCTAACCCACATCTCCCCACCATGTTTTGTGTACCAGTTTGTGATGTGTTCTGTAGACCTAACCCACATCTCCCCACCATGTTTTGTGTACCAGTTTGTGATGTGTTCTGTAGACCTAACCCACATCTCCCCACCATGTTTTGTGTACCAGTTTGTGATGTGTTCTGTAGACCTAACCCACATCTCCCCACCATGTTTTGTGTACCAGTTTGTGATGTGTTCTGTAGACCTAACCCACATCTCCCCACCATGTTTTGTGTACCAGTTTGTGATGTGTTCTGTACACCTAACCCACATCTCCCCACCATGTTTTGTGTACCAGTTTGTGATGTGTTCTGTAGACCTAACCCACATCTCCCCACCATGTTTTGTGTACCAGTTTGTGATGTGTTCTGTAGACCTAACCCACATCTCCCCACCATGTTTTGTGTACCAGATTGTGATGTGTTCTGTAGACCTAACCCACATCTCCCCATCATGTTTTGTGTACCAGTTTGTGATGTGTTCTGTAGACCTAACCCACATCTCCCCACCATGTTTTGTGTACCAGTTTGTGATGTGTTCTGTAGACCTAACCCACATCTCCCCATCATGTTTTGTGTACCAGTTTGTGATGTGTTCTGTAGACCTAACCCACATCTCCCCACCATGTTTTGTACCAGTGACAGCATACACCTGTGGCAGCAAGATCGTCTTACAAGAAGGGCAAAACTACACCATGGTCTTTCCTGCCTCAGGCCTCACTTCGTGAGTTGATGTGTGGGGAAGTGTGATGTGTGGGGAGTGTGTGGTGTGGGGGAGAGTGTGATGTGGGGTAGAGGGTCTTGGTGGATTGTGTAATGTGTCAGTAAATTGTGGATGAGAATCAAGAATAGAGTCAGCTTGGAGTAAATGTCTGCCTTGTATCACCCCATCCCTTGACCACAGACAAATGTCTGCCTTGTATCACCCCATCCCTTGACCACAGACAAATGTCTGCCTTGTATCACCCCATCCCTTGACCACAGACAAATGTCTGCCTTGTATCACCTCATCCCTTGACCACAGACAAATGTCTGCCTTGTATCACCTCATCCCTTGACCACAGACAAATGTCTGCCTTGTATCACCCCATCCCTTGACCACAGACAAATGTCTGCCTTGTATCACCCCATCCCTTGACCACAGACAAATGTCTGCCTTGTATCACCACAGACCAGACTGCCACTTCTACCTGTACCCAGCATCCTACGACTCCCACATTAGATTGGCCATAGAGGACGTCGTCTACCCATTCAACTTTGTGGAGGTCAATGCCTCAGGTTAGTCACCTCTACACTCACAGATAGATAGAATATCTCTGTGTGCTTACACTAACAGATAGATAGAATATATGTGTGTGCTTACACTAATAGATAGATAGAATATCTGGGTGGGCTTACACTAACAGATAGAATATCTGTGTGTGCTTACACTAACAGATAGATAGAATATCTGTGTGTGATTACACTGACAGATAGATAAAATATCTGTGTGTGCTTACACTAACAGATAGATAGAATATCTGTGTGTGCTTACACTAACAGATAGATAGAATATCTGGGTGTGCTTACACTAACAGAAAGATAGAATATCTGTGTGTGCTTACACTAACAGATAGAATATCTGCGTGTGCTTACACTAACAGATAGATAGAATATCTGTGTGTGATTACACTGACAGATAGATAGAATATCTGGGTGTGCTTACACTAACAGATAGATAGAATATCTGGGTGTGCTTGCACTAACAGATAGATAGAATATCTGGGTGTGCTTGCACTAACAGATAGATAGAATATCTGGGTGTGCTTGCACTAACAGATAGATAGAATATCTGGGTGTGCTTACACTAACAGATAGATAGAATATCTGTGTGTGCTTACACTAACAGATAGATAGAATATCTGTGTGTGCTTACACTAACAGATAGAATATCTGCGTGTGCTTACACTAACAGATAGAATATCTGCGTGTGCTTACACTAACAGATAGATAGAATATCTGGGTGTGCTTACACTAACAGATAGATAGAATATCTGTGTGTGCTTACACTAACAGATAGAATATCTGCGTGTGCTTACACTAACAGATAGATAGAATATCTGTGTGTGCTTACACTAACAGATAGAATATCTGCGTGTGCTTACACTAACAGATAGATAGAATATCTGGGTGTGCTTACACTAACAGATAGATAGAATATCTGTGTGTGCTTACACTAACAGATAGATAGAATATCTGTGTGTGCTTACACTAACAGATAGAATATCTGCGTGTGCTTACACTAACAGATAGAATATCTGCGTGTGCTTACACTAACAGATAGATAGAATATCTGTGTGTGCTTACACTAACAGATAGATAGAATATCTGCGTGTGCTTACACTAACAGATAGAATATATGTGTGTGCTTACACTAACAGATAGAATATATGTGTGTGCTTACACTAACAGATAGAATATATGTGTGTGCTTACACTAACAGATAGAATATATGTGTGTGCTTACACTAACAGATAGAATATATGTGTGTGCTTACACTAACAGATAGATAAAACATCTGTGTGCTTTTGTGTAGATCTCCATGCTTTAATTTGTCCCTTATATTTTTCAGGCAAGATTGAAAAGTTTGTGTCCAGTGACTTCACTGACCAACAGCCTTTTCCTGTGATCTACAAGCAGACAGCCGTCCAAGTTCACCTTCACCTTGAGCACCTGTTGGCCCACAACTACGCCCTCAATGCCACCATGGCCAGAAGTAAAAAAAAAAATTGTGCTGAAGTTCTGAAAATTGTAGATTTTTTTTTTGTACCATTGTAATGTTTGATTGAACTTGTCAGATTTTGTGGTACCCCATGATTGAACTTGTCAAACCTTGTTTCAGTTTGTGGATTAGACCTGGATGTCTACTCCTACGCTGCAACCCTCACCTCCCCTCAGTATCCTGATCTTTATCCGCTGTAAGTTGTTTCTCTTGTTGACATCCATACACAACCCAAAGAGATTTTGAAACACCCAAAAACATCAGTGGTTGTTTGTTTCTGACTAAGATTTACATGATTTTTTTCTTTCCAATTTTATGGGAAGTAACTGATGTACCACCCTGTAGAATCAGTTATGGGAAGTAACTCTCTTTTCCCCCCAGCAATAAAGTCTGCAAGTGGCACATGAGGGCGGCTAGTGGCACCATTTTCTTGGACTTCATCGAGTTTTCTCTGGAACCTACACTCAACTTTGTACAGTGTTCTAAGGATTATCTAGAGATCTATGACGGTAGGTGCTTTCTCTAGTAGCTCCTTCTGGGGGGGGGGGGGGGGGGTCATTTGGGGGGGTATCATTCTGTGGGGAGGTTCTTCTGTTTCCTGTTATTGAATGCTACTGTTGATGTCTCAGGGCCATTGGCCAGCCAGACCCTAATCGGCCGCTACTGTGGGGACATCAGTTACCTACAGGTGGAAAGTCAAACCTCGGAAATGACGCTGATTTTTGTGTCTGATGGGACAGTCAACAAACCTGGGTTCAGGCTCCTGTACAGGGCCATGACAGCAACCACAGGTAAACCATGACAGCATCTACAGGTAAACCATGACAGCATCTACAGGTAAACCATGACAGCATCTACAGGCAAACCATGACAGCATCTACAGGTAAACCATGACAGCATCTACAGGTAAACCATGACAGCATCTACAGGCAAACCATGACAGCATCTACAGGTAAACCATGACAGCATCTACAGGTAAACCATGACAGCATCTACAGGTAAACCATGACAGCATCTACAGGCAAACCATGACAGCATCTACAGGTAAACCATGACAGCATCTACAGGTAAACCATGACAGCATCTACAGGTAAACCATGACAGCAACCACAGGTAAACCATGACAGCATCTACAGGTAAACCATGACAGCAACCACAGGTAAACCATGACAGCATCTACAGGTAAACCATGACAGTAACTACAGGTAAACCATGACAGCAACCACAGGTAAACCACGACAGCATCTACAGGTAAACCATGACAGCATCTACAGGTAAACCATGACAGCAACCACAGGTAAACCATGACAGCATCTACAGGTAAACCATGACAGTAACTACAGGTAAACCATGACAGCAACCACAGGTAAACCATGACAGCATCTACAGGTAAACCCTGACAGCAACCACAGGTAAACCATGACAGCAACCACAGGTAAACCATGACAGCAACCACAGGTAAACCATGACAGCATCTACAGGTAAACCATGACAGTAACTACAGGTAAACCATGACAGCAACCACAGGTAAACCATGACAGCATCTACAGGTAAACCCTGACAGCAACCACAGGTAAACCATGACAGCAACCACAGGTAAACCATGACAGCAACCACAGGTAAACCATGACAGCATCTACAGGTAAACCATGACAGCATCTACAGGTAAACCATGACAGCAACCACATGTAAACCATGACAGCATCTACAGGTAAACCATGACAGCATCTACAGGTAAACCATGACAGCAACCACAGGTAAACCCTGACATTGGAGGCAAAATATGCTGGCTTAGTTGGCTGTGGTCTCGATCAAGTTATATTTTAAATCTTTTTTTTACCCTTATGAGTTCTTTAGACCAATGAAATTAGTTCAGTTAGACGCACTACATACTTTTCTATATGTTCTGCTCAATATTCTCAGCTATTGAGACCAAAAAATGTAGAGAAGTCAAGGTTACATCAAACAGTAAAACTAAATGAGTGGCTTTAAATCAACCACAAAATGAATGATTACAAGTATGTGTCCGAGAAATAACCATGGAACATTGGTCAAAAATGGAAACTCAGCATTCTCATTTTTGGTGGCCATCATTACCATGACGATGGTAAAAATAGTAGGTCAAGCGACATCCTAATATAAATGACTAGCCACTATTATTAGAATAAGTTTTATTTTTGTACAGAGAGCCCGGTATCTGAAAGTTCAGGGTCATACATCGTGGGAATCGTGATTGGCTGCATCGTGTTTGTCCTGGTTCTCATTGCTGTTATGGTGATACTCATCCGCAGAAGGCGCTGGAAGAACAGGACCTGCAGGCAGGGAACTGCTGCTGTAACTGTTGTCAACAGGTAACTCAAGGCACCTCAACTTAAGTTACCTCCCCTTTGTGAGGTTAACATAAGTTACCTCCCATTGTGAGGTTAACTTAAGTTACCTCCCCTTTGTGAGGTTAACTTAAGTTACCTCCCCTTTGTGAGGTTAACTTAAGTTACTTTCTATTGTGAGGTTAACTTAAGTTACTTCCCCTTTGTGAGGTTAACATAAGTTAACATAAGTTACCTCCCCTTTGTGAGGTTAACTTAAGTTACCTCCAATTGTGAGGTTAACTTAAGTTACCTCCAATTGTGAGGTTAACTTAAGTTACCTCCAATTGTGAGGTTAACTTAAGTTACCTCCAATTGTGAGGTTAACTTAAGTTACCTCCAATTGTGAGAGGTTAACTTAAGTTACCTCCAATTGTGAGGTTAACTTATGTTACCTCCAATTGTGAGAGGTTAACTTAAGTTACCTCCAATTGTGAGGTTAACTTAAGTTACCTCCAATTGTGAGGTTAACTTAAGTTACCTCCAATTGTGAGGTTAACTTAAGTTACCTCCAATTGTGAGGTTAACTTAAGTTACCTCCAATTGTGAGGTTAACTTAAGTTACCTCCAATTGTGAGGTTAACTTAAGTTACCTCCAATTGTGAGGTTAACTTAAGTTACCTCCCCTTTGTGAGGTTAACTTAAGTTACCTCCAATTGTGAGGTTAACTTAAGTTACCTCCCCTTTGTGAGGTTAACTTAAGTTACCTCCAATTGTGAGGTTAACTTAAGTTACCTCCAATTGTGAGGTTAACTTAAGTTACCTCCAATTGTGAGGTTAACTTAAGTTACCTCCAATTGTGAGAGGTTAACTTAAGTTACCTCCAATTGTGAGGTTAACTTATGTTACCTCCAATTGTGAGAGGTTAACTTAAGTTACCTCCAATTGTGAGGTTAACTTAAGTTACCTCCAATTGTGAGGTTAACTTAAGTTACCTCCAATTGTGAGGTTAACTTAAGTTACCTCCAATTGTGAGGTTAACTTAAGTTACCTCCCCTTTGTGAGGTTAACTTAAGTTACCTCCAATTGTGAGGTTAACTTAAGTTACCTCCCCTTTGTGAGGTTAACTTAAGTTACCTCCCATTGTGAGGTTAACATAAGTTACCTCCAATTGTGAGGTTAACATAAGTTAACATAAGTTAACATAAGTTACCTCCCATTGTGAGTTGAAGTTTTCTCTCACCAATGGGCTGAATATTTTGATTTGATGAGTTGGAGGTTAGATTTATAATTGTCTAAACTTTGTCATGTGCTAAAAATATTGTTAGTGTAATCTGAGGTCATGTGACTACTTCCAGCCGAGAGTCTGCTGTGTTTATACTGAGCCCAGTCCCCCTAGCCCCACCCCCCTACTCCATGGATGCCAGCCCACCCCCCTACAGCCAGGCTAATGTTGACAGGTGAGTGGTGTAGGATCTGTTACACAGGTAGACCTCATTACACAGGTAGACTCATTACACAGACACCATTACACAGGTAGACTCATTACACAGGTAGACTCATTACACAGGTATACCCCATTACACAGGTAGACCCCATTATACAGGTAGACCCCATTATACAGGTAGACCCCATTACACAGGTATACCCCATTACACAGATAGACTTCATTACAAAGGTAGACCTCATTACACAGGTAGACACCATTACAAAGGTAGACACCATTACAAAGGTAGACCTCATTACACAGGTAGACCTCATTACACAGACCCCACTACACAGGTAGACCCCATTACACAGGTAGACCCCACTACACAGGTAGACCCCATTACACAGGTAGACCCCACTACACAGGTAGACCTCATTACACAGACACCATTACACAGATAGGCCTCATTACACAGGTAAACCTCATTACATAGGTAGACCCCATTACACAGGTAGACCTCATTACACAGGTAGACCCCACTACACAGGTAGACCCCATTACACAGGTAGACCCATTACACAGGTAGACCCATTACACAGACACCATTACACAGGTAGACCCCCATTACACAGACACCATTACACAGGTAGACCCCCATTACACAGGTAGACCCCCATTACACAGACACCATTACACAGGTAGACCTCATTACACAGGTAGACCTCATTACACAGGTAGCTCTCATTACATAGGTAGACCCCCACTACACAGGTAGACCCCCATTACACAGGTAGACCCCATTACACAGGTAGACCCCCATTACACAGACACCATTACACAGGTAGACCTCATTACACAGGTAGACCTCATTACACAGGTAGCTCTCATTACATAGGTAGACCCCCACTACACAGGTAGACCCCATTACAGAAGTAGACCCCCATTACAGAAGTAGACCCCACTACACATTACACAGGTATGATGACACTGTAAGAAGACATGATGATTTCAGGTATGATGACAATGTAAGAAGACATGATGATTTCAGGTATGATGACAATGTAAGAAGACATGATGATTTCAGGTATGATGACAATGTAAGAAGACATGATGATTTCAGGTATGATGACAATGTAAGAAGACATGATGATTTCAGGTATGACGACAATGTAAGAAGACATGATTTCAGGTATGATGACAATGTAAGAAGACATGATTTCAGGTATGATGACAATGTAAGAAGACATGATGACAATGTAAGAAGACATGATGATTTCAGGTATGATGACAATGTAAGAAGACATAATGACAATGTAAGAAGACATGATGATTTCAGGTATGATGACAATGTAAGAAGACATGATGATTTCAGGTATGATGACAATGTAAGAAGACATGATGATTTCAGATATGATGAATATGAGGAGCTGGACGACCCCCCACCATACAGTGAGGATCTACAACCAGGTTAGGCCACCAGTTTCTACATCAGTTGCTTCCCTTGATCATGTGGTTGTCCTGCTGTCATCTATTCTACTATTCCACTATGTCAAATTGGTTTTTTTTTACAAGGGTTACAAATCAGATTGTGTTGTGTTTCTTGTTTTTTGTTGTATTGTGTGTATATTTAATTTTTTTTGTTTTGTGTGATAAATTTTATGGTTTTGTTGGCCTAGATGGTGCTTTTTTTTAGTTTTCTGCAGAGGACTGTTTTAATGTATTTTATTCCGTACTGAAGCAATGACAGTTAGTGTGTGTGTGTGTATATATATATATATATATATATATATATATATATATATATATATATATATATATATATGGCGCCTTTTTCTCATCCCCCGCCGCCCCCCCCTAGCCTGAAAACCTGTATACGCCTCTGTATATACTTTTAAGAAAGCAGTATGTAAAGTTTTGAATGCCTCACTATGTGTGATGAATAAAATTATTAAAACAGAACAAAAGATCATGAACTAGATGTGGCCTTATAACCCATTATAATGCTATAGATGATAATTAAACACTAATATTTTAAAAACTTTTTTTTTCATGCAAAAATAAAGTCGTCAGTAAAACAAGCCCTCATCAAATATTTAAAAACGTTTAATTTTTCCTATTCAAATCACTCCAGGTTTTACTTTTAATACATGAATTTAATGAACAGATATTTTGAAACATTAGTAAATCCTAATGAAAATGTTTAGCACATGTTAAAGAATATGTTTATTTTTTGGACGTCCAGCTTACAGATCTTAGATTAGATCTTAGGGTCATTGTGCCCATTGTTGTTTTCATTACATTGATGAGTTAAATTAAAATTAAAATTTGGCAGGTCTAACAAACAGAGATGTGAATGAACCTGAGGTAAATGACGGTAGACGTGACGCCAGCACATATGTCAGTGGACTCTATGCCAGCACACAGCACCCTCCTTTATACGAGAACATTCACAGACTCAACGTTCATGTTCCGCAACCTGCAACACATGTTCCCCAACCTGCAACACATGTCCCACAACCTCAAGTTTTGGGACCTCTGTAATCTGAAGTATTTAAAAAGTCTTTCTGCTGGTTTTACCCAATGTAATCTAAAGTATTTAGAGAAAAAAAAAGTCTTTCTGCTGTAGAGTTTGTTTTTACCCAGGCCCACAGGCTTGTTGAGAGTGCGGAGGTTGTGCTGAATTGTTTACTATCTTTTAGTCACTTTGTCTGCCTTTTGCTGCCTGGTACAGATGATTGAAACAACACATCCTATCTTCAATGGGATTATTACAGATCCATACTTGTTTTGTTTGCTTGTTTTATTAATGCTGTCAGTTTTGTAACCCTGGGCACTAAACAACAAGGTGTTTGGGGGGATTTTGGTTTTCTGGAATGTTTACACTTATTTTTACATTTTATGCTGTCAACTTGTTCTTTTCATGACAAATCACAAGATTATTTTTATACTACAGTTTTTTCTGTGTACTTTTAATGGCAAGGCAGATCAACAACGCTGGATTTTATCAAATGAAGTGATCTGATGGGATAGTAATTTTTTTTTTAGGGGGGGGGGGGGGGGGGGGAATCTTAAATGGGGCTCAAATATTGTTTAGACATCTAGGTCCAGTGAGTGACAACTCTGAACTCAAGTTTTCTAATTCCTGTTACGAGGACTGTAAAGATTAGGTTAGCTCAAAGATTTTGACCTGGAAAGTTTGCTATTAGGTTAGCTCAAAGATTTAGACCTGGAAAGTTTGCTATTAGGTTAGCTCAAAGATTTAGACCTGGAAAGTTTGCTGTAAGCATGTGTGGGTATTGTTGTGTACTCTTTAACTGACCACCATTGCAGCGCATGTTATACCCAAACATTTCTTCAACAGCATTCAAGTTTCTTTTAACTTTTCAAGCATGTTTTCTATTTAATACATATGCATAACTTGTACATAGGCTCATTTGTATATTTATATTTTTGAAAGAGGAATAATCAAGTTATAGTTTTATTACCTTTTTGATGTCAATATTTGAAGTTGACTTCCAATGTAATGTTTTTTATACATGCACATATGTACATTAGACCTCCTTTGGTTTACAAAACTTTTCATAACGCTGCACAAATGTAAAAACATGTCTATTCAGTTGGGAACTAATTCAAGAACATATTTTTATATTAAAATTGTCGTTTTCACTGTTTGCATCAAGTGTAAGTAAGAGGGAGGGGAGGGAGGGAGTGTAGAGGTATGATGTAGGGGAGGGAGGGAGTGTAGAGGTATGATGTAGGGGAGGGAGGAGTGTAGAGGTATGATGTAGGCTGGGTGTGCCTCAGATCGCAGGACAGTGGCCAGACTTTTGACACAATGGACGTAGCTTAGAGAAAACAATCATTTTTAAAGCCAAACTTTATTTACAAAATGTTTCACTATCTAGAAGTTATTCCTGCCTTTTCCAAGTGAATGTTTTTAATCTTCTCACATAAACATATCATCGTAACTATCCGGGGGACGTTCATGATCAGGGTCAGGCCTAGGAGACAAAAATTTGGATCATTGATTCAAACTTGGGTAAGGATACAAGATGGTAAAAAAAAACCTAAAAATTGACACCACAATTAAGTAACTAAAAAAGGATATTAATTAAACTAAAAATAGCCATCTGAACCCAGACATACATCACAAATGATTGATAGTTTACACCTGAGGGTCAACAGCTAACACACACCTGAGGGTCAACAGCTAACATACACCACAAGATTTGATAGACCTAACACACACCACAAGATTTGATAGACCTAACACACACCACAAGATTTGATAGACCTAACACACACCACAAGATTTGATAGACCTAACACACACCACAAGATTTGATAGACCTAACACACACCACAAGATTTGATAGACCTAACAGTTACTAACACACACCACAAGATTTGATAGACCTAACACACAAGAGTTGATAGACCTAACAGTTACTAACACACACCACAGCGTAATCAAATGATTGAAAGCTTACACTGGTCTGACACCTGGGGGTCCGACTGGGTCAAATCTGGCACCAGGGGGGATGGAACCTCTGCATCAAAATAAGATGGTGTTAGTGGCACGTGTGGGTGTGAGAAAAAACTGATCGTTTCAGTCAGTGGTTAATCTAGCAAAACAATCACTACATTTCTTTGTATTTGTTAATCACGATTCAATTTTTGGCTAAATACTGAAATTTTTCAAGGAAAAAAAATGATGTTTGAGTGTGAGAAAAATGGTTTGAATATTTGATTTGAAGAGATAAATTGTCAACTCACGGCGGGAAGCCAGGAGGTCTAAAGCCACCCGGGTTGGTCAGATTCCGCGGGTCCATGAACATTCCCCCACCAAAGCCACCACTCAGGGGGTCAAGGTCTGTCCTACCTACACTAAAAGGATCAGAGTAGTCAGGTCTGAGGATCAGAAGAAAATAGGTTATCTCCCTCTGTCAATTTGACAAGTTCTCTCCCTCTAACTACATTTTATAAGCTTGTCTAGACTGGGGAACAAACCTGATTGGCTGTCTTGGGGGGTGGTAGCCAGCACCCCCGGAGACACCTCGTCTTGGATCTTCCAACAAAGGTGACCTTGTCGGATGTGACTGGCTGCTCTCTGAGTCGCTCCTGCGCTGAGGTCTCTCCACCATTTTGGTGTACAAGTCTTTAGTGACTTGTGTGTTGAGCTCTGACAGGTTGTTAAATGTGCTGAATCAAGACAGACAATATGTTACAACAACTCAATCAGGACAGACAATATGTTACAACAACTCAATCAGGACAGACAATATGTTACAACAACTCAATCAAGACAGACAATATGTTACAACAACTCAATCAGGACAGACAATATGTTACAACAACTCAATCAGGACAGACAATATGTTACAACAACTCAATCAAGACAGACAATATGTTACAACAACTCAATCAAGACAGACAATATGTTACAACAACTCAATCAGGACAGACAATATGTTACAACAACTCAATCAAGACAGACAATATGTTACAACAACTCAATCAAGACAGACAATATGTTACAACCCAATCATGACAGACAATATGTTACAACAACTCAATCAAGACAGACAATATGTTACAACAACTCAATCAAGACAGACAATATGTTACAACAACTCAATCAGGACAGACAATATGTTACAACAACTCAATCAAGACAGACAATATGTTACAACAACTCAATCAGGACAGACAATATGTTACAACAACTCAATCAGGACAGACAATATGTTACAACAACTCAATCAAGACAGACAATATGTTACAACAACTCAATCAGGACAGACAATATGTTACAACAACTCAATCAGGACAGACAATATGTTACAACAACTCAATCAAGACAGACAATATGTTACAACAACTCAATCAAGACAGACAATATGTTACAACAACTCAATCAGGACAGACAATATGTTACAACAACTCAATCAAGACAGACAATATGTTACAACAACTCAATCAAGACAGACAATATGTTACAACCCAATCATGACAGACAATATGTTACAACAACTCAATCAAGACAGACAATATGTTACAACAACTCAATCAGAAACATGATCATAGGAGCGAGAAAGGTTTAGAAAGTCTAAAAGATAATAATTAACTGCTGCCTCAGAATGAATGAAACAAAACCAGTTGACATTCACAAAATGTGGATTTGGTGGTTAGGTGCTAGAGCACATGCTAAATACACCAGAGATCCTGGAAATCCAGATGTCTGCCTCACATTCTGGGGAGACACCAAGTGTATGCAGGTGTTTCAGGAGAATGACCAGCTCTATCTGCTGAATGACCAGCTCTATCTGCTGAATGACCAGCTCTATCTGCTGAATGACCAGCTCTATCTGCTGAATGACCAGCTCTATCTGCTGAATGACCAGCTCTATCTGCTGAATGACCAGCTCTATCTGCTGAATGACCAGCTCTATCTGCTGAATGACCAGTCTATCTGCTGAATGACCAGCTCTATCTGCTGAATGACCAGCTCTATCTGCTAAATGACCAGCTCTATCTGCTGAATGACCAGCTCTATCTGCTGAAGTAGTCACTAAAAAAATAATCAAAGCGTCTTCACCTTGCTATAGAGGGGTGGATATCATTGACGAAGTCTCGACTACGAACCGTTGTGCTAACAGTTTTCTCATCAAAGCACCTCTACAACACAAAAAAAATTACAAAATTATTTTGTAGAGTAGAAAAAATTTAGGTTTTGTAATAACCAGTTTAAACAGGTAGACAAAGTACAATTTTAATTAACATTGATAATTAACTTCCTGCAAAAGTAAAGATTTTTCTTTACAAATTCAATGGACAGAGATTCTTCCAGGCATCTCTTCGGGGGGCAAAGCCCCCCCCCCCCCCCCCCGAAAAAATTTTACCGCCCCCCCCCCCCCCCCCCCCGAACGAAATGAAATTTATATATTTTATATAGAAAATATATACTTTTAACAGTGTCCGCCCCCCCCCGAAGAAAGTTTACCGCCCCCCCCCCCCCCCAAAATTTCAAGTGCCCCCCCCGGAGAAAAAAGTCTGGAAGAAACACTGTCAATGGACAATTTTGTTTAGAAAATAAAAAAATATATAATCCTAAAGGAAAAAAATCATCAGACCAAAGATAAAACTTGAGGGACTTACTAGCAGGTGAAGAATAAGAGAGCCTTCAATGGCCAGAGCTTTCATCAGATACGTTCTGTTTGACGTGGGGTCAACATAGCGCAGTGCATAAATTGCTTCTTGACTGTTCCATCCTTCAGGCAGGAACTCACTACCAACATAGTTTTCATTCTTGAATAAATTAAAAAGTGGAACTCACTACCTACATAGTTTTCAATCTTGAAATTAAAATAAAGCTACTTTTTAAATAAAAAGCTGTAATTGAATTGCGAATGATCAATATAAAGCCCAAGGGGCGTGACTTGATGAACTAGGATCATTCTTAGTTATACTAGTGATTCAACTATGATAGTACAGTATTTCTTCAAGGACAGAAATCCTTGGTCAATTCAATTCCACCTAAAGCCATGATGCACATTTTTATATGCTTCACCCATCAACACATATATAATTTAAAAAATCAATGACCCCCTTTCTCTGCTTTATCTGTGCTAATCAAGCAGATTTTCACCCTAAAGCATGGCTAAAAAACTAAGGATCCTTCTGTAGGCTAGCCTGTATAAAATTAATTTTCCTAACAAGAGATTAGTCGACTTGTTTAGCCAAAAAAGCTTAAAAAATTAAACTATATTTTTTATAATTGATACATGTAAAAGTAATAGATTACTAATAAAAAAATAATTACTTATACAAATGCTGTTTTATCTGCTTTATACTATCCTAAGAGCTAACTCTGGCAATAATACTAATTTGTTACAGAGTATTTTCAAACTACTAATCACATAGATCTAGTAGTAAAGCTGCTAATCAATCATAGATCTAGTTAGATCTGGTAGTAAAGCTGCTAGCCCGAGTCAGGAGGTCGGATGTTTTGATTGAGTCTGTCAGACATATCTGTGTCCATCCAGCTCTGGATGGGTACATGACTCACCTTAGAGAAACAAACGTGGCTGGGCATAGTACTGACCACACTATCCCCCTGTATACAGAGTCTATTGAAACAGATACAATCTACATGCTACTTCATAGGCCCCTTGTGTCTTGGGCACGAACAGGAAAAGATGATGATAGAACTAGTTAGTAAGTTAGTAGTTTAACTTCTAGATCTAGTTAGTAGTTAGTGATTAAGCTAATTTCAAACATGAACAGATTAATTTAAAAGAGTATCTAACTGATTCAACTGTTTGCTAATCTCACTAACTAAAAAGTTATTAATTGTATACTAGATTCTAGATCTATATCATATGACATATGGCTACAGAAGTTACATAATAGGTAGTAGATCTTAACTACTCTACACCTTGTCTAGTTAGGGGTCGTCCATAGGGATTTTTGTCCATAATTTTGTGACGGTGTGTGATGAGGGGGAAGGGGGGTTCAGATGGTGTGATGTCACTTTTTCATTATAACAAAGCAATGTTAGAAAACAAGTTCAAGCCATTATTTATTTGCGTTATAGAAAACGGTTTCTATAATACCAACTGCAATTTCGAGGGGGGTTGTGGGCTGAGGTGTGATGTCATTTTAGAGGGGGTCTGGCTTTTTGTGACGGGGGGGGGGGGGGGGAGGTAAAAATTGTCAAAAAAGCGTGACGCCATTGCCACTTCATTTATGGATGATCCCTTACTAGATTTAGAACCTAGATCTAGATAATTTAGATAGGCCTACTTTTTTTTTACTTAGTAGAGATAGATACTTTAGTTAACTTTAGATAGTCTAGATATAGACATAGAGCTGTTGTACTAGCTAGCTAGGCTAATAGTAATAGTAAAATAAGTAATAGTAATAGGGCTAGTACTAGTTCTAGATCTAGATCTAGATATCTAGATCTAGATATTGGAAATTAAATGGAAATATATTATTAATATATTAATAGTATTAAACTATTAATTAATATTATTAATAATACTAGCTTATAATTATAGCTAGATTACTAGATAGGCCCCTACTAGATTTAGATCTAGATTTCTAGATCTATTTTATATCATATCCAATTATCCATTATGTTGAGGTTTGTTTACTTAATTTACTTTGAGCCCACCTGTCTCTCGGGCCAAGATTCTCCAGAACCACAACATCTGAGACCATTTGAAATCAAATTCCAATGGACCGCAATTATAGCAGCGTCATCTGATGATCGTATTTGTTGCACGACAGTTGAATAAAGCAGCTCGAACCCAGGGAGAGCCATGGTTATCGGCTGTAATTGTTTTAATTGTAATCCTGTAAATTTTGGCTTATTTCATGGTTCTGCGCTATCAATTTCTCCAGTCATTGTTGTCGAGGGGTTTAGTAAACCCCGGGAATTCCCGTTTCAGTTTAAAAACGCAAAAAGAAAAAACAATATCCCTGTCCCTTTACTTTTGTTATGTCATTGATTAACTTAGACTTTGGCTCATAAATTTCATGGTTAAAGAATAAAATTGCGGTTGCTAAATTTGCAATAAACTTTAAACCTGGAGATTTAGATTCTATTTTAATTAATTTGAAAAAAATTAAGCCTAGGCCCTAGATGTTTAGGCTAAACCGAAATAGAAATTTACTTCTTTCCGAATGTTTCATGTTTTTACTAAACTGTTAAAAAATGGCAACCCGCTTAGCATGTGCAGTAGGCCTATCTCGCGAGCCATTGAAAAGATATTTAATACAGTTCGCCCATGATCATCTTGATTTTCGATTGCAGGTAGACTATAATTTTTCTTTCAGATTTAATGTATCATCGGGTCTTTTTTTTTTTGCTTCTAAAGTGATGAATATGATATTGAAAACATAAGTCATAAGCCCACTTGTCACTTAGTTTTCAAGAGTTACCGGTCCTTTTCTTTTTTCAAGTCATTCAACATTCAATGTTTTAATGAATTAGATAATATTATATATATCTAACTAATTACTCTAAGCCTTAATAGTAAGTATTTCTATTTAGTATTTAGAATAGGGGGCCTACTATTTAATAGTATTTAATCCAGTATTTATTCTACTATTCTCTATCCCATTTAGATGACCCCTTATTAGACCCATTATATATGCCATCCTCTATATTACTACATCTTACATCACATACTAGTACATACCTACCACCTGTTACATCCAACCTTGTTAACTGACCAGGTCAAGAATTGAGGAACATTCTCAGAAAGTTGTCTTCATGTATGAGTTTTATTTCTCCCCAGGAAGTGAAATCCATCATTTCTCTACTTGGCTGCAAAGCTTTACTAAAAGATGATGACCTAGGTAAAGGGGTAAGTTTGTAACTTTTTTCTTGTCAAATCAATAATTTAAACAGAAAATTTGTATTATTCTGTGGTCTAGCTATCTTAACTAATAACTTGAAAAATGATCTTTTCATTTTTGACAATAAGTTTTACTAAAATTAACACCAAATAATTGTTGCCCTCAGAACCCTTTTATGGAACTGGAACTGTCCAGTGAGACAGATGCAAAGGCTATCATGCACAGATCTGTCCTCAGCAAGTACTAAACCTTCATACAATCTCTCCCTTGGCTTATATCTTTGATCCTTATCTTAATACCTCCATACAATCTCTCCCTAGGCTTATATCTTTGATCCTTATCTTAAAACCTTCATACAATCTCTCCCATGGGCTTATATCTTTGTATCTTAATTTCCATTCATTGCCAACATGTTGTGTATGACCAAAACTTGGCAGGGGTTGTTGTTTTCAGGAGAATCTATGAACTTTGGGCAGATGGAGAGTGTCTTTCTGAAGTTTGTGAGAAAATAAATCTTTTGCCTGAGGAGATTACAGTAAGTCTTAGTGAGGATCTATTAACTATCAAAAGTCAGCAATGTTACAAGTTTATATTTTTTTAAATATATTTTTCCAAAACCAGAGATCAGAAAATCTGTTATATGTGTCCGATTTCAAAATGTGTGTTTTTATGTTTATGAACTGAGGTAAAACAGCAAAAATTAGGTCACAAAAATTCCATTTCTGTGTAATTTGTAAGCTTTGGGTTTATATGATTATTATATACATGAGAAATCCATCTTTCTAATAATTTATAATACAATAATTTATACTACAACATAACAACGGATATTAAACTTTTCATAGAGAACTTGTGAGATTGGGCTCCTGGCTTAAAACTTTTCCTAGGTTCTGACTTGAAACTATTCCTAGTCTTCTGACTTCAAAACTTTTCCTAGGCTCCTGATAAGACTAACACACATACTTTTCTTTCTAGGCCCCTTACACTCAGGAGAGCAGCAGTTTCCGCATCATGGTAGAAGCTTTTAACAAGAAAATAAGTACATCCGAGAAGATTAAGAGAATTGAGGTTAGTAACACTCTGAATGTTTGGCATGTGTGACTTCCATTTCTAGTAGTTGATGTGGTTTGCCATGGTTCTGTGCACAAGATTTGGTGTTGGCCTTCCAACAAATTCAGCTGAAGGATAGATAATTTTGTCTAATCCGACTATTAAAAGACCATGTCACAGACTGATTTTTGGAACAAAACAGCAGTGTCACATGAATGCTATATAAAACTATTCTGTCCAATCAAAGTAACATGCACAGGACTTAACTTGTGAAACTGGAGAAGGTTCAATAGTAAAACAAATAAAAATTTAATGATATTTTACAGAAAATATTATCAATTTTCTACATACATAGATTTTTATCTGCTGATTTATTTTTTTCACTTCTTTGGCTAAGCACAGTTTTTTAGTTAAGTATCATTATACTTATTTTCTGTAAATGTGAGGTTGATGAACTTTTCCAGCAACTAACAACAGTGAACAGCACGTTCCGAGGGAAAATTGACCTCAGTTGCCCAGACCACAGCTTCCATTTATTGGAGTTTTATAAATTTGATTCCGTCGTCGCAGCCACGAAGCCAGAAAAAGTTTATTTTGGAAGATGGGTAATCTATTGTCTGCAGAAATCCACTCTACTGTTTGCAATTATCTACTCTGCTGTTGCAAATATCTACTCTATTGTTTGTAAATATCTACTCTACTGTTTGCAAATATCTACTCTACTGTTTGCAAATATCTACTCTACTGTTGCAAATATCTACTCTACTGTCTGCAAATATCTACTCTACTGTTGCAAATATCTACTCTACTGTTTGCAAATATCTACTCTACTGTCTGCTAATATCTACTCTACTGTCTGCTAATATCTACTCTACTGTTTGTAAATATCTACTCTGCTGTTTGCAAATATCTACTCTACTGTCTGCAAATATCTACTCTATTGTTTGTAAATATCTACTCTTCTGTTTGCAAATATCTACTCTACTGTTTGCAAATATCTACTCTACTGTTTGCAAATATCTACTCTGCTCTACTGTTTGTAAACACTTTGTAATGTAAACCCTAGCATATTTTTATGAACTTAAATAGCTGAGAGTTCTGGTCGAGAGGAATAAAGGGTCATCTATTTATGTCCACACACACACACACACACACACACACACATTAGACACCCCTCCCTTGACAACATGGCGTCCACTTTAGACCAACGTACACACTTGCTTCCTGTGTGAAAAGGAGATAGAATTATAAATGTAAGTGACCTTTCTATTAATGTCATGGTCAGACCTTTCTATTAATGTCATGGTCAGACCTTTCTATTAATGTCATGGTCAGACCTTTCTATTAATGTCATGGTCAGACCTTTCTATTAATGTCATGGTCAGACCTTTCTATTAATGTCATGGTCAGACCTTTCTATTAACCCATATTATCCCAAGGTCTCCAATTTTTATAATTTTTTGATATGGTTTAGCTTTTGGGCACTGAATGAAGGAATGACTATGGATTTTTTTTAAAAATCAATACTTTTTTAAATATCGATTTTTTTAAAAACGTCCCATAAATGGGACGCTAGCAACGAATGGCCCCATGTACATTTATTGAAAAATAAAATTATTTATCACAAAATATGGCTAATCACGCGAAAATTAAGCTGTATACTGATTTTGTATTGTTAGACCAATGATTACATTGTTTAGGACAGCTAAAAATTCTGATAATGATCAATTGGGTTAGCCATACCATTGTCGAAAATGCAGAAATTATGTTCAAAAGTCTAGTTTTCTTTCAATCTAGCATCCATCAAAGTGAACAACACTTGGAAATAAGTAAAGCTGTGACTAGTACATCTAATTATACACACATGATCACAAATATTGTTTTTATTCATCGAAACTGTAATATAATTAAATATAAATAATTGATTTTTTGGGGGGCGTACTTGAAATTTTCAGGGGTGGGGACTTAAATTTCAGGGGAAGGATGGACATTGGTAAAAGTATGTTTTGTATATAAATTCCATTTTGTTCTGGGGGCAGAGCCCCCCCCCCCCCCCCCCCCCCCTCCTCCGAAATGATGCCTGAAAGAAACTCTGCCCTCAGTGAATTTGCAAAATATGATCCGGTCCAGTATCAGATGTCATCCAGGCATCTTCTCTTTTGTTACCCTCGCTATTCCCCCCCCCCCCCCCCCCTCCCCTCACAGGCGTACATTAGGACATCAGACATCTTATTTCTAGGGCACGGATCCGTCTCTGGGGGCTTGTATTGAGTGTTCATGGCTGTCATCCATGTATGCACCTCACTATGCGAACAGCTCCCAATCTAACACCAGAGATCTCCTTAAAAAGTTAACAAAGTAAAACTGGTATCAGGAACCTTTGCAGGGTAATATTATTGGGGCATGACAACTGTACACAGCTAATTCACATCTCTGCTATATGTAGCTTACGCTCTCTTATATGAAGAGAGTTAACCAACCCCCATGACTGAATCATTTCACCTAAATCGTGGCCATTGTTATTATTCTGGTTTGTTATAATTTTAATACCACGCACTAGTAAATTTACAGCAATACTAAATTAGTTTGTATTCAATGGTATTAAATACTTCAGTAAGTGTAATTCTGAAAACTTAAAAATAAAATGTAAGTTTTTCAATCTTTGCAATTTTTTAATACAATAATATATAAGAAAATATAGGTCAAAGTCATAATTAAATATCTATAAATATTACTTAACATCCCAAAGTCAACAGTTAACAAAGTCAACAATTGTTCCACCATAAATAACCATTTAACATAAATATTTGCATCTGTGTTTCTCGCTATCGTCCAATAAATGTGACGTTTGTGTAACAATCTGCATAAATATAGGTCAAGGTCATAATTAAATATCTATAAATACTACTTAACACCCCAAAGTCAGCAGTTAACAAAGTCAACCATTGTTTCACCATAAATAACCATTTAACATAAACATTTGCATCTGTGTTTCTCGCTATTGTCCAATAAATGTGACGTTTGTGTAACAATCTACATGGGGCCATTCGTTGCTAGCATCCCACTTATGGGACGCTTGTTGTACACTTGATATAACGAAGTAGTAAAAAAAAATTGTTATTCTTAAATTTTTATCAGATAGAAATATGGTACTGCTACAAGTTTCAAATGTATTTTGCACTTAAAATGTTAATATTTTAGAAGATATGCATTTTCCTGTGGGCATGTTTTCTTTTTTCCGCCATTTTGACAAGTCCTGCAAATCCGGCACTATAACATTTTTCTAAATTATTTTTTTTTCACAAAACACACACAAATTCAATAGTCTAACCATTTTCAAATACAATGAAACATAATTTGTGTTTTAATTAGTTTTTAATAAATTTTAGCAATTTTTTTTACAAGCGTCCCATAAGTGGGACGCTAGCAGAATATGGGTTAATGTCATGGTCAGACCTTTCTATTAATGTCATGGTCAGACCTTTCTATTAATGTCATGGTCAGACCTTTCTATTAATGTCATGGTCAGACCTTTCTATTAATGTCATGGTCAGACCTTTCTATTAATGTCATGGTCAGACCTTTCTATTAATGTCATGGTCAGACCTTTCTATTAATGTCATGGTCAGACCTTTCTATTAATGTCATGGTCAGACCTTTCTATTAATGTCATGGTCAGACCTTTCTGTTAATGTCATGGTCAGACCTTTCTATTAATGTCATGGTCAGACCTTTCTATTAATGTCATGGTCAGACCTTTCTATTAATGTCATGGTCAGACCTTTCTATTAATGTCATGGTCAGACCTTTCTATTAATGTCATGGTCAGACCTTTCTATTAATGTCATGGTCAGACCTTTCTATTAATGTCATGGTCAGACCTTTCTCTTAATGTCATGGTCAGACCTTTCTATTAATGTCATGGTCAGACCTTTCTGTTAATGTCATGGTCAGACCTTTCTATTAATGTCATGGTCAGACCTTTCTATTAATGTCATGGTCAGACCTTTCTATTAATGTCATGGTCAGACCTTTCTGTTAATGTCATGGTCAGACCTTTCTGTTAATGTCATGGTCAGACCTTTCTATTAATGTCATGGTCAGACCTTTCTATTAATGTCATGGTCAGACCTTTCTGTTAATGTCATGGTCAGACCTTTCTATTAATGTCATGGTCAGACCTTTCTGTTAATGTCATGGTCAGACCTTTCTGTTAATGTCATGGTCAGACCTTTCTATTAATGTCATGGTCAGACCTTTCTATTAATGTCATGGTCAGACCTTTCTGTTAATGTCATGGTCAGACCTTTCTCTTAATGTCATGGTCAGACCTTTCTATTAATGTCATGGTCAGACTGAAACATTTGTGTTTTTTACTGTAGGTAACAGATGGTCAGAGAAACAAGATACAAGAATATCATCTACAGAAAAGACATTTCATTGGTCAGTTCCTGTTCTTAGACATTCTGATTGGTCAATGTATTGCAACAACAGTCTGAACTGGGTCATATTTTATCATTTGTAATTGACGTTTGGACTGTTGGTGCACTGACCAGGAAAAAGTGACCCAAACTTTCCTGGGGAGTGGGCTTGTAGATCAGTGGACTTTAGAGTGCTGTCAATGGTTGCTCTTTTCTGCTGATTTTTTAAAATTGTTAAATTGTTGTTGTTTGCTTATCCCATTAGGCATGCCTTATAGTTGTATGCCATCCCATGATGCCAGTGTTATAGCTAAGTTTGTGTTGCAGCCAATACAAGTATGGATGCCAGTGTTATAGTTGTATTTCTATAACATCATGCCAGTGTTATAGTTGTATTTCTATCTTATCATGCCAGTGTTATAGTTGTATTTCTATCTTATCATGCCAGTGTTATAGTTGTATTTCTATAACATCATGCCAGTGTTATAGTTGTATTTCTATCCTGCAGCCAATACAAGTATGGATGCCTGTTTATCTCTGGTGATGGCCAACCTGGCACAGGTCAAGCAAGATGACCTTGTTATTGACCCCTTTGTTGGCTCAGGTAAGAGACATCTGTGTTAACTATTCAATGACTACCTTGTCTAGATATAATATAATGGTGTAGAAATTAGTTGATGCAATAACCACTCCGCTGTATGTCATCATTAGCCATTCAGCTGAATGTCACCAGCTGTATGTCACCAACTGTTTGTATGTCACCAGCTGTATGTCACCACCTGTTTGTATGTCACCAACTGTATGTCACCAACTGTATGTCACCAGCTGTTTGTATGTCACCAACTGTATGTCACCATTGACCATTCAGCTGTATGTCACCAGCTGTATGTCACCAGCTGTATGTCACCCGATGTATGTCACCAGCTGTATGTCACCAACTGTATGTCACCATTGACCATTCAGCTGTATGTCACCAACTGTATGTCACCAGCTGTATGTCACCAACTGTATGTCACCAGCTGTACGTTACCAACTGTATGTCACCAACTGTATGTCACCAGCTGTTTGTATGTCACCAACTGTATGTCACCATTGACCATTCAGCTGTATGTCACCAGCTGTATGTCACCAGCTGTATGTCACCAACTGTATGTCACCAACTGTATGTCACTAGCTGTATGTCACCAACTGTATGTCACCAACTGTATGTCACCATTGACCATTCAGCTGTATGTCACCAGCTGTATGTCACCAGCTGTATGTCACCAACTGTATGTCACCAGCTGTATGTCACCAACTGTATGTCACCAACTGTATGTCACCAGCTGTATGTCACCAACTGTATGTCACCAGCTGTATGTCACCAACTGTATGTCACTAGCTGTATGTCACCAACTGTATGTCACCAACTGTATGTCACCAACTGTATGTCACTAGCTGTATGTCACCAACTGTATGTCACCAACTGTATGTCACCAACTGTATGTCACCACCTGTTTGTATGTCACCTTTACTTCCCTTGTTCCAGGCAGTTTGCTGGTGTCCAGTGCACATTATGGAGCTTTTGTTTTGGGCACAGATATTGACTACCTGCTACTTCATGCTAGAGGTCAGTATGTGGGTTAGGTCATGCTGGAGGTCAGTATGTGGGTTAGGTAGTTGACCTCATGCTAGAGGTCAGTATGTGGGTTAGGTCATGCTGGAGGTCAGTATGTGGGTTAGGTCATGCTAGAGGTCAGTGTGTGGGTTAGGTCATTGATGTTATGCTAGAGGTCAGTATGTGGGTTAGGTCATTGACCTCATTCTAGAGGTCAGTATGTGGGTTAGGTCATTGACCTCATTCTAGAGGTCAGTATGTGGGTTAGGTCATTGACCTCATTCTAGAGGTCAGTATGTGGGTTAGGTCATTGACCTCATGCAAGAGGTCAGTATTAGGTTAGACCCACCTACCTCCCAGCAGTCTGTATATCCCTATCTGTCTGCCTACGTTTACTCTGTTGACTTTGTCATTGATCTGGTTATCTGTATCAGCATGTTTAAAAAAATCATGTGTAGGTAGATATTTTCTACACAAAAATGTGTGTTATTTAAGTCATGATAGATTTTGTCTACAGAAAAATGTGTGTTTTATAAGTCATGATTGATTTTCTCCACACAATAATGTGTGTTAATTCATGATAGATTTTGTCTACACAAAAATGTGTGTTTTATAAGTCACGATAGATTTTGTCTCTGTGGTTTTATTTTAGCTCGACCAAGCAGAGCGAAGCAGACAAAAAGGTCTGTAGATATGTGGTTTTATTTTAGCTCGACCAAGCAGAGCCAAGCAGACAAAAAGGTCTGTAGATATGTGGTTTTATTTTAGCTCGACCAAGCAGAGCCAAGCAGACAAAAAGGTCTGTAGATATGTGGTTTTATTTTAGCTCGACCAAGCAGAGCCAAGCAGACAAAAAGGTCTATAGATGAGAGTGTGTGGAGCAACCTCAAGCAGTACGGGCTAGAGAGTAGATACCTGGACGTGCTGGTGGCAGACGCCTCACAACTGACCATGTGGAGGGATAACATCAGATTTGATGCCATCATTACAGACCGTGAGTCTCACATCAGCTGTCATAAAAGTTTAATTGTTCAACTTTGTGTGTAGCTTATCATGTCTCAGCACCTACTGGGCAGTGTACAACTTGAAACAAACTTTAATGGGCACACATTTTAAATGGGCAGTCAACACAATACCTGCTGGACAATGTACAACTTGAAACAAACTTTAATGGGCACACATTTTAAATGGGCAGTCAACAGTGTAGGATAGTCCAACAGTACTGTAGTGGATTGTTCTGATTTGTTACATTGATGTGTGAATCTATTCACCTACCATCTGATTTGTTACATGGATGTGTAAATCTATTCACCTACCATCTGATTTGTTACATGGATGTGTAAATCTATTCACCTACCATCTGATTTGTTACATTGATGTGTAAATCTATTCACCTACCATCTAATTTGTTACATTGATGTGTAAATCTATTCACCTACCATCAAATTTGTTACATTGATGTGTAAATCTATTCACCTACCATCTGATTTGTTACATTGATGTGTAAATCTATTCACCTACCAGCTCCATATGGCATTCGGGAGGCTGCTGCAAAGATATCAACAAAAGAGAATTCGGATAAAAAAATAACAGATCCGTGAGTCTTTACTTTTTATCTCTCTTTAAGGGGGTAGGCGCTGGTTAAAAAAAACTTTTTAAATGCTCATTAGGAAACAGGTATGCTTTACAGCTTTTTAAAGGTACTTCCGCATATGCGTTTCCACTATATTAAAAAAATTGTGGAAAAATCTTGGTAACTACGACAACAGCAGACATCTTTAAAAATTAACCACTTCTTAGGTTTTCCACCATTCATAAAATATTATATTTTAAGCCCAATAAAAAATGAATTCATAGTTTCCTACCATATTTTGGGGTACTCAGCTAACAAAAAGTAAATATCTTCAAAGTAATTTATTATGAATTTACAAAATTTGTGTCCGTTCAAAACACTTAATTTTGGGGAATTAAAACTAATGTTTTAAATGGACCCACAATTTGAAAATTGTTTCCTAATGAGTATTAAAAAAGTTTTTTTTACCAAAGCCTAAGTGTCATGACCTTAAACATGTCAGTTATTTCTTGGCTCATGTGGTCTAGGCTCCTGTGTTGGTGTGGTCTAGGCTCATGCGGTCTAGGCTCCTGTGTTGGTTTGGTTTAGGCTCCTGCGTTGGTGTGGTCTAGGCTCATGTGGTCTAGGCTCCTGTGGTTGGTGTGGTCTAGGCTCCTGTGGTTGGTGTGGTCTAGGCTCATGTGGTCTAGGCTCCTGTGGTTGGTGTGGTCTAGGCTCCTGTGGTTGGTGTGGTCTAGGCTCATGTGGTTGGTGTGGTCTAGGCTCCTGTGGTTGGTGTGGTCTAGGCTCCTGTGGTTGGTGTGGTCTAGGCTCCTGTGGTTGGTGTGGTCTATGCTCCTGTGGTTGGTGTGGTCTATGCTCCTGTGGTTGGTGTGGTCTATGCTCCTGTGGTTGGTGTGGTCTATGCTCCTGTGGTTGGTGTGGTCTAGGCTCATGTGGTTGGTGTGGTCTAGGCTCCTGTGGTTGGTGTGGTCTAGGCTCCTGTGGTCAGTGTGATCTAGGCTCCTGTGGTTGGTGTGGTCTAGGCTCATGTGGTTGATGTGGTCTAGGTTCATGTGGTTGGTATGGTCTAGGCTCCTGTGGTTGGTGTGGTCTAGGCTCATGTGGTTGGTGTGGTCTAGGCTCCTGTGGTCAGTGTGATCTAGGCTCCTGTGGTTGGTGTGGTCTAGGCTCATGTGGTTGATGTGGTCTAGGTTCATGTGGTTGGTGTGGTCTATGCTCCTGTGGTTGGTGTGGTCTAGGCTCATGTGGTTGGTGTGGTCTATGCTCCTGTGGTTGGTGTGGTCTATGCTCCTGTGGTTGGTGTGGTCTATGCTCCTGTGGTTGGTGTGGTCTATGCTCCTGTGGTTGGTGTGGTCTATGCTCCTGTGGTTGGTGTGGTCTAGGCTCATGTGGTTGGTGTGGTCTAGGCTCCTGTGGTTGGTGTGGTCTAGGCTCCTGTGGTCAGTGTGATCTAGGCTCCTGTGGTTGGTGTGGTCTAGGCTCATGTGGTTGATGTGGTCTAGGTTCATGTGGTTGGTATGGTCTAGGCTCCTGTGGTTGGTGTGGTCTAGGCTCATGTGGTTGGTGTGGTCTAGGCTCCTGTGGTCAGTGTGATCTAGGCTCCTGTGGTTGGTGTGGTCTAGGCTCATGTGGTTGATGTGGTCTAGGTTCATGTGGTTGGTATGGTCTAGGCTCCTGTGGTTGGTGTGGTCTAGGCTCATGTGGTTGGTGTGGTCTATGCTCCTGTGGTTGGTGTGGTCTAGGCTCATGTGGTTGGTGTGGTCTAGGCTCCTGTGGTTGTACTGGTCTAGGCTCATGTGGTTGGTGTGGTCTAGGTTCATGTGGTTGGTGTGGTCTAGGCTCATGTGGTTGTACTGGTCTAGGCTCATGTGGTTGGTGTGGTCTAGGTTCATGTGGTTGGTGTGGTCTAGGCTCCTGTGGTTGGTGTGGTCTAGGCTCATGTGGTTGGTGTGGTCTAGGCTCATGTGGTTGGTGTGGTCTAGGCTCATGTGGTTGGTGTGGTCTAGGCTCATGTGGTTGGTGTGGTCTAGGCTCATGTGGTTGGTGTGGTCTAGGCTCATGTGGTTGGTGTGGTCTAGGCTCATGTGGTTGTACTGGTCTAGGCTCCTGTGGTTGGTGTGGTCTAGGCTCATGTGGTTGGTGTGGTCTATGCTCCTGTGGTTGGTGTGGTCTATGCTCCTGTGGTTGGTGTGGTCTAGGCTCATGTGGTTGGTGTGGTCTAGGCTCATGTGGATGGTGTGGTCTAGGCTCCTGTGGTTGGTGTGGTCTATGCTCCTGTGGTTGGTGTGGTCTATGCTCCTGTGGTTGGTGTGGTCTAGGCTCATGTGGTTGGTGTGGTCTAGGTTCATGTGGTTGGTGTGGTCTAGGCTCCTGTGGTTGGTGTGGTCTAGGCTCATGTGGTTGTACTGGTCTAGGCTCATGTGGTTGGTGTGGTCTAGGTTCATGTGGTTGGTGTGGTCTAGGCTCATGTGGTTGTACTGGTCTAGGCTCATGTGGTTGGTGTGGTCTAGGTTCATGTGGTTGGTGTGGTCTAGGCTCCTGTGGTTGGTGTGGTCTAGGCTCATGTGGTTGGTGTGGTCTAGGCTCATGTGGTCTAGGTTCATGTGGTTGGTGTGGTCTAGGCTCCTGTGGTTGGTGTGGTCTAGGCTCATGTGGATGGTGTGGTCTAGGCTCATGTGGTTGGTGTGGTCTAGGCTCATGTGGTTGGTGTGGTCTAGGCTCATGTGGTTGTACTGGTCTAGGCTCATGTGGTTGGTGTGGTCTAGGCTCCTGTGGTTGGTGTGGTCTAGGCTCATGTGGTTGGTGTGGTCTAGGCTCCTGTGGTTGGTGTGGTCTAGGCTCATGTGGTTGGTGTGGTCTAGGCTCCTGTGGTTGGTGTGGTCTAGGCTCATGTGGTTGGTGTGGTCTAGGCTCCTGTGGTTGGTGTGGTCTAGGTTCATGTGGTTGTACTGGTCTAGGCTCATGTGGTTGGTGTGGTCTAGGCTCATGTGGTTGTACTGGTCTAGGCTCGTGTGGTTGGTGTGGTCTAGGCTCATGTGGTTGGTGTGGTCTAGGCTCATGTGGTTGGTGTGGTCTAGGCTCATGTGGTTGGTGTGGTCTAGGCTCATGTGGTTGGTGTGATCTAGGTTCATGTGGATGGTGTGGTCTAGGTTCATGTGGTTAGTGTGCTCTAGGTTCATGTGCTTGGTATGGTCTAGTGATAGAAGTATTAGTGAATTAATCTAGTTGTGAGTTTTGTTTTTAAATGTATTTTTAAAATCACCAAGTGTGCTTTAATTTAAAAATTATATTTTTGTACAAATTGAATTGACTAAATGATCTTAATTGTTTACAGGGAGGCGCCTAGGTACCCCCAGAAATCCCAGTATCAACTAGGAGATATTTTCTGTGACCTCCTCAACTTTGCTGCCAAATATTTGACCATAGGAGGTCGTCTAGTGTATTGGCTGCCAATTTACAAACCTGAGTAAGTTGAAGTGGTCAGTTTCTGGACCAACTCTTGTGTGTGTAGTGGTCAGTTTCTGGACCAACTCTTGTGTGTGTAGTGGTCAGTTTCTGGACCAACTCTTGTGTGTGTAGTGGTCAGTTTCTGGACCAACTCTTGTGTGTAGTGGTCAGTTTCTGGACCAACTCTTTTGTGTAGTGGTCAGTTTCTGGACCAACTCTTGTGTGTGTAGTGGTCAGTTTCTGGACCAACTCTTTTGTGTGTAATGGTCAGTTTCTGGACCAACTCTTTTGTGTAGTGGTCAGTTTCTGGACCAACTCTTGTGTGTGTAGTGGTCAGTTTCTGGACCAACTCTTTTGTGTAGTGGTCAGTTTCTGGACCAACTCTTGTGTGTGTAGTGGTCAGTTTCTGGACCAACTCTTGTGTGTAGTGGTCAGTTTCTGGACCAACTCTTGTGTGTGTAGTGGTCAGTTTCTGGACCAACTCTTGTGTGTAGTGGTCAGTTTCTGGACCAACTCTTGTGTGTAGTGGTCAGTTTCTGGACCAACTCTTTTGTGTAGTGGTCAGTTTCTGGACCAACTCTTGTGTGTGTAGTGGTCAGTTTCTGGACCAACTCTTTTGTGTAGTGGTCACTTTCTGGACCAACTCTTGTGTGTAGTGGTCAGTTTCTGGACCAACTCTTTTGTGTAGTGGTCAGTTTCTGGACCAACTCTTGTGTGTGTAGTGGTCAGTTTCTGGACCAACTCTTGTGTGTAGTGGTCAGTTTCTGGACCAACTATTGTATGTAGTGGTCAGTTTCTGGACCAACTCTTGTGTCTGTCTGTTGTTTCCTGAAGCCATTGTTTTGATTCCTGCCCCTATATTTCCAGCTACAGTGAGTCCAACATCCCCCAACACCCGTGCCTTAGGCTCGAGTCCAACTGTGAGCAGCCTTTAAACACCAGCATATCCAGACGTCTGATAACAATGCAAAAAATAGCAGAAGTCCAGGTCATTTAGGAATTTCTTTTTGTCTGATTTACATTTGTCTTTTTAAATTCTGCACCATTTTAAATGTTAGTTTAAATTATGGCCGTTTCTTTTATGATTACCATTTTGATTTGTTTTAAATTTCAGAATGTTGTCACGAAGAGAGAAGCTACAATTATGCTAGACAACTTTCAAAGTTTTAGAAAAAACTATTTCAAGCCCTTAGATTCATCAAAGGGCAAGAGTCAAGGCCACAACAGTTGTAGTGACACAGAAAGCTAGCACAAGTTATTGAAATAGAGACACTAAAACAACATCCACCCCAATAGTTATAGTGACACAGACAGTTAGCACAAATTATTGAAATAGAGACACTAAAACAACATCCACCCCAACAGTTGACACTAGAACACTTTAAAACTATTAAATTATTTGCTGCGTTACATTCTTCCTTCTTTCTCCACCATACACAGAAAGTTCATCTTAAACTCATCCTAAATCTGACCAACCTAAATGCATTTTTTTATAATCTCTCAGCAAATCATGGAGCTCAAGTATTATAATTGTTCTAATTAAAAAACTTGATGCACCAACCCTCAGTAAATTAAGTTAATTATGAAATCATTAAACCTGTAGATATTGTACTGAGTATTTTAATGTCATTAAGTTAATTAAAATGTGTAAGATTGTACTGATTGATTTTAGTTGCATGTCAGCATCCCAGCACTAGGTGTGGAGTTGACTGATGAGTCCATGTAGTGTGACTTGATTCAGGTGTGGAGTTGACTGCTGAGTGCATGTAGTGTGACTTGATTTAGATGTGGAGTTGACTGATGAGTGCATGTAGTGTGACTTGATCCAGGTGTGGAGTTGACTGCTGAGTGCATGTAGTGTGACTTGATCCAGGTGTGGAGTTGACTGATGAGTGCATGTAGTGTGACTTGATCTAGATGTGGAGTTGACTGATGAGTGCATGTAGTGTGACTTGATCCAGATGTGGAGTTGACTGATGAGTGCATGAAGTGTGACTTGATCCAGATTTAATGGGTTAGTTCATTAACTCTCAACGGCTGTTTAGTGAAGGATAGCATCAACTAGAGCATGTTGTAAAGCTGATATAAATTTTGATTGAATTAAATTGATTTTGTAAAGCTGATATAAATGTTGATTAAATTCAAGTCAAAAACTATTCTTTGTTTGTTTTTTTAGTACCCATGGCCTTGTGAGCATGTGACCAGTGTTCTATGTTGACAAGATTTGATCATGTTACTGTACCTGGGTTTAGTTCAACTTATGTTAAAAGTTTAAAAGAGCTGACATTAAGTTTTCACTGCTCTGATATAAAATTTGGTGTGCCTTTTTTTTTTTTTTTTACTTAGCCTTTATTATCCCTGTATAGATTTACATCACTCCTTAAGGGGAGACTAACGCATTAAGTTTTAATATTGTGTTTTTCTTTATTATCTTTCTTTAGTATTACATTCTTTCCGGGGCAAAGTAAATCTATATTTAGTAACATAAATACTGTTCATCACGTGATGGTCATGATTTTCTGAATCATTGAGACCCTCAACAAAATGTTCTTCGAATATAATTAATTAGGCCTAAAAGTTCATTTTTTATCCAATCAACGTCTAGATCCAATTGATAAAGTGAGACAATGCATGTTTAGACTATAGCAAAATGTTTGGCTTGTTGCCGCATGTGGGTCAAATTACTTTTTATTTAAAAGTAAAGTAAAAAAACACATTTCGTGTTGGTTAATGCCCATGGTTTAAAGTTAAAATTATTAATTAATATTAAAATATTACTATATTAGGGGTCTTAATAATTATTGTTTGAATTATTGATCTAGTCAAGATCTAGCAATTAAATCGATACTCAGACTCACTCAAGCGAATAGTTTAAAAACTTAATAAAAAGCCCAAGAATATTTTAAATCTCTAGCTAGATCTAGATCTAGGTCTAGCTAGATCTAGGCTAAAGTAAAGTACTAAAGAGTAGTCTAAAGTCTTTAGACTTAGAATAGAGCTAGTTCTATATTTGAGTAAGCTGTAGGCCTAAGCAATATTAATATTAATATTTGATCAGATAACCAGCAGGCATTGGCTAAAACTTAAACTTTTCTTTAGTGATGGTTAGGGTGTGGCAATCTGTACTGAAAGTTTGTTTTAAAAAATAGAAATTAGATCTATATTCAATATTCTATTAGATCTACTTTAGTATAATTAATATATGTTTAATTTTTCTCTAATTAAATCTAAAGGGGGAAACACAAATCTCAAGTAAATGGGTATTCTCTCTCATTAAGCTTGACTGTTAGGGGCCATAAGGAAAATGATCTAGATCTAAATGGCATTCTGCAAGTTTAACTTGTCCCCCCCCCCCCCCTTCCTTAGGGTTTAGCTGTCACACATGACAAAATGTTTCCTCTTCTTCAAGTGATGTCACCCTACATGTGAATTGTCACCCTACATGTGAATTGTCACAAAAGTCTGGCACCCCCACCCCTATCCAACCTCCTTAGATTTGTGACAGCTTCTGTATGTTATCTTTTAAGTCGGTCTTAGGTGCTTTGACCAGAGCGGAGCTTTTACCATAAGGGGTTTGGCTACAGCGGGGCTTAGACCCGTAGACAGTGTGACTTCAGTTCTCTTGTTTTAGACCTGTTAACTTTTGCTTGAGGGGTAGACAGTGTGACTGTCAGTTCTCTTGTTTCATCTAGCCTTAGTCCGCCTGGCAGAGGCATAGCGGGGGAGGGGGGGGGACATATGTCCCCGGCGCTGACCTTAGGGGGCGCCAAAATGGGTTATCAACAAATTGAAAGTTCGAGGGGGGGTGTAAATCAAAAGTTCGAGGGGGGTGCTAATCGAAAGTTTGAGGGGAGGGTGCTAATCAAAAGTTTGAGGGGGGGTGCAAATCAAAAGTTTGAGGGGAGGGGGGTGCAAATCAAAAGTTTGAGGGGGGGTGCAAATAAAAAGTTTGAGTGGGGAGGTGCAAATCAAAAGTTTGAGGGGGGGGGGGGGGGGGTGCAAACCAAAAGTTTGTCCCCTGGCGCTGGAAGGATCGCTACGCCTCTGCCCTCTGGGGTAGTGTAAAGATTGTGGGGCATAGAACTGAACATAAAACAAGAACATACTAATTCTACCATATCTGGCAACTAACCAGTCTTCAACTCTAGCATTCAACCTTTCTTGTTCCACTGATTTTATATAACCTCTTGAAATTTTAAAACTTTATTTTGCTTGTAGGATTGTTGGTGCATGAACATTTCCCTAAAATGGGTAGATAACTCAGCATAAAATCTGCTTGCCTTGAAGCTTGACCTAAACAGTTTCATTTTTTTTATTGGGAATGTATATAATAAACCCAATAATGCATTAAAACATCTAAAATATTGAACAAAAAAAACTTTGCTTTTAAAGCAGATGTTTGATTGCGAGATAGTTATCTATCTGATAATCTTGCTTGTTATCTATCAGATAATCTTATGTGTCTGGTCTGCTTGTCTAGCTAGAATGACACCTGTGACCTGATAAAGAAACAGGTTGAAGTTTTTTATTTCCCACTGTGTCAACTGAAAAAAAGACATGTTCATTGTTCAGGTTTGATAAAAATTACTTCAGAGATTTTGACACTTGTAAACTAGAACTGACAATTTCTGCTCAGCTGACGGCATGAGCAGCGGAGACTCAACAAATGACGTCACCAGTGGGTCGGAGTCTGACGACTCGTCTGTCAGCTTCAGCAGCCCAGAGGAAGAACTGCTGAGTCATGCCAGGAACGGACAGGAAGACAAACTTCTCCACCTGCTCATCTCCACTGATGGCTCAGGGAATAAACTGGACATCAACTGTAAAGGTTTGACATTTTCTACACATCAGACATACAGGCACCAGACATACAGGCACCAGACATACAGGCACCATACAGGCACCATACATACAGGCACCAGACATACAGGCACCAGACATACAGGCACCAGACATACAGGCACCATACATACAGGCACCAGACATACAGGCACCATACAGGCACCAGACATACAGGCACCAGACATACAGGCACCATACAGGCACCAGACATACAGGCACCAGACATACAGGCACCAGACATACAGGCACCAGACATACAGGCACCAGACATACAGGCACCAGACATACAGGCACCAGACATACAGGCGCCATACAGGCACCAGACATACAGGCACCAGACATACAGGCACCAGACATACAGGCACCATACAGGCACCAGACATACAGGCACCAGACATACAGGCGCCAGACATACAGGCACCATACAGGCACCAGACATACAGGCACCAGACATACAGGCACCAGACATACAGGCACCATACAGGCACCAGACATACAGGCACCAGACATACAGGCACCAGACATACAGGCACCAGACATACAGGCACCAGACATACAGGCACCATACAGGCACCAGACATACAGGCACCAGACATACAGGCACCAGACATACAGGCACCAGACATACAGGCACCATACAGGCACCAGACATACAGGCACCAGACATACAGGCACCATACAGGCACCAGACATACAGGCACCAGACATACAGGCACCAGACATACAGGCACCATACAGGCACCAGACATACAGGCACCAGACATACAGGCACCATACAGGCACCAGACATACAGGCACCAGACATACAGGCACCAGACATACAGGCACAATACATACAGGCACCAGACATACAGGCGCCAGACATACAGGCACCAGACATACAGGCACCAGACATACAAACATCAGACATACAGGCACCAGACATACAGGCACCATACAGGCACCAGACATACAGGCACCAGACATACAAACATCAGACATACAGGCACCAGACATACAGGCACCAGACATACAAACATCAGACATACAGGCACCAGACATACAGGCACCAGACATACAGGCACCAGACATACAGGCACCAGACATACAGGCACCAGACATACAGGCACCAGACATACAGGCACCAGACATACAGGCACCATACAGGCACCAGACATGCAGGCACCAGACAGGCACCAGACATGCAGGCACCAGACATACAGGCACCAGACATACAGGCACCAGACATACAGGCACCATACAGGCACCAGACATACAGGCACCAGACATACAGGCACCAGACATACAGGCACCATACATACAGGCACCAGACATACAGGCACCAGACATACAGGCACCAGACATGCAGGCACCAGACATACAGGCACCAGACATACAGGCACCAGACATACAGGCACCAGACATACAGGCACCATACAGGCACCAGACATGCAGGCACCAGACATACAGGCACCATACAGGCACCAGACATACAAACAGCAGTCATACAAACATACAAACATCAAACATACAAAAAATCAGGCATATAAACAGCAGTCATACAAACATCAGACATAAAAACATGAGATATACAAACATTGGACTTACTAACACAGAAAGACAAATGAACTTATGGTTAATCAGATATTTTTATGGAAGAAAAGGTGGTAATTTGAAGAAGAAAAATAATGTATTGATAGAACATTTTGTTTTATTTTGTTCTTCCATGGTAATGTGAGTCAAATAAAGCAGACCTAAAGTTACAATTTTTTATAAAAGTAATTACATAACTATAGTCTGAGTGACGTTTGCCAAAATAAATTGTGTTGAATAATTCAGGAGAGCAGAAGTCAAACAGAGGATGGACTCCACTCCATTTGGCAGCGTACTTTGGTCAGACGTCTGCTGTCAGGCTGTTGTTGGAGGTAGTACAGATTAGCATAAGAGATTATCTCCTACATAAATTCTAACAAATATCTGTAGCTTAAGAGATTATCTCCTACAGAAATTATAGAACAAATGTCTCTAGCTTAACAGATTATCTCCAACAGATTATCTCCACCAGTAAATTTAAATTGCTGTGTTGTTTAAAAAATACATGATATTTTATGACATAAAAAATGATGTTTGATTACATAAAACATGATGTTTGATGACATAAAACATGTTGATGTGTTGTTACAGTTTGGAGCCATTGTTGATGTCTTGAACACATCTGGTGAGTCACCACTGCACCTGTCAGCGTACACAGGTAGAGAGGTAAACATTTCTCTCATCTTTTATTTAGAGAGGTAAACATTTCTCTCAACTTTTATTTAGAGAGGTAAACATTTCTCTCATCTTTTATTTAGAGAGGTAAACATTTCTCTCAACTTTAGAGGTAAACATTTCTCTCAACTTTTATTTAGAGGTAAACATTTCTCTCAACTTTAGAGGTAAACATTTCTCTCAACTTTTATTTAGAGAGGTAAACATTTCTCTCAACTTTAGAGGTAAACATTTCTCTCAACTTTTATTTAGAGAGGTAAACATTTCTCTCAACTTTAGAGGTAAACATTTCTCTCAACTTTTATTTAGAGAGGTAAACATTTCTCTCAACTTTTATTTAGAGAGGTAAACTTTTCTCTCAACTTTTATTTAGAGAGGTAAACATTTCTCTCAACTTTTATTTAGAGAGGTAAACATTTCTCTCAACTTTTATTTAGAGAGGTAAACATTTCTCTCAACTTTTATTTAGAGAGGTAAACATTTCTCTCAACTTTTATTTAGAGAGGTAAACATTTCTCTCAACTTTTATTTAGAGAGGTAAACATTTCTCTCAACTTTTATTTAGAGAGGTAAACATTTCTCTCAACTTTTATTTAGAGAGGTAAACATTTCTCTCAACTTTTATTTAGAGAGGTAAACATTTCTCTCAACTTTTATTTAGAGAGGTAAACATTTCTCTCAACTTTTATTTAGAGAGGTAAACATTTCTCTCAACTTTTATTTAGATAGGTAAACATTTCTCTCAACTTTTATTTAGAGAGGTAAACATTTCTCTCAACTTATTATTTAGAGAGGTAAACATTTCTCTCAACTTTTATATAGAGGTAAACATTTCTCTCAACTTTTATATAGAGGTAAACATTTCTCTCAACTTTTATTTAGAGGTAAACATTTCTCTCAACTTTTATTTAGAGAGGTAAACATTTCTCTCAACTTTTATTTAGAGAGGTAAACATTTCTCTCAACTTTTATTTAGAGAGGTAAACATTTCTCTCAACTTTTATTTAGAGAGGTAAACATTTCTCTCAACTTTTATTTAGAGGTAAACATTGCTCTCAACTTTTATTTCTTCACACAAGTTCTCAACATCTGCCATCCCACAATTACTTTCTTCTCATTTTTTGAATGGCAGATTTGTTGAAACTCATCAAGTTAATAGTTTGTCAAGTTTGATTGTTTGTTTCCCTGATTTTGTGTTTCAGTTTTTTTATCCATTGCTCTTCTGTTTTAGGAGGTAGTGGCTCTTCTGCTACAGCATGGTGCTGACACTGGCATTGTCAACACACTAGGTCAGACAGCAGCTGATGTCACCAACTCCCAACACATCAAAGATATGCTAGAAGGTGAGTGCATGCTAATGTTGCCTACTCTAATAGATATGGGGGCATGCTAATGTTGCCTACTCTAATAGATATGGGGGCATGCTAATGTTGCCTACTCTAATAGATATGCTAGAAGGTGAGGGCATGCTAATGTTGCCTACTCTAATAGATATGGGGGCATGCTAATGTTGCCTACTCTAATAGATATGGGGGCATGCTAATGTTGCCTACTCTAATAGATATGGGGGCATGCTAATGTTGCCTACTCTAATAGATATGCTAGAAGGTGAGGGCATGCTAATGTTGCCTACTCTAATAGATATGCTAGAAGGTGAGCGCATGCTAATGTTGCCTACTCTAATAGCACGGAGCATGTTGGGATCAAACCTCTAGGACATCACTGAGTCCACCCAGCTCTGATGGGTACCTGACTCACGAGAAAATTATCAGCAGCTAGGCGTATGAATGACCACAGTGTAGGTCATAGAGACAGGCAAACTCTACTTGATCTACCCACCAAGACTGAAATGGTGTAGTAAGATGGTAGAGTAGAGAACTGCTAACCCATCAGTGTCAAGTTTGAATCCCTAAGTCCACCCAGCTCTGATGGGTACCTGACTAATGATAGGGAAAGAAAAGGCAGCTGGGCATAGTAAAAGTAAAGTAAAGTTCCCTTTTCAAACCTGACAGTCTATAGGGCAAGTGAAGTAGAGTTCACTTGTTTCTGTGACCTCGGTATATGAAGAGATAGTGTGGTCAACACTATGCCCAGCCACCTTTACTTTCCCTAACGTGAGTTAGGTACCCATCAGAGTTGGGTGGACTCAGGGACAATGTAATGAATTGAACCCGGATTCAAACTCGATACTTATGGGTTAGCAGTCCAGCTCTCTACTGCTAGACCACTCCTTCCCATAGCTGAGCATAGTGCTGATTCACATTATCCCTTCACAGAAACAAGTGAACTGTTAACTTAAAATTTCAGCCATCTAACTAATATATTTCAGACCTTTTCTAATACAGCAAATGAACTTTTTATTTTCAGCTGCCAAAACTTCAGACAATTTAAAAATTCAGTCAGAATTTTTACAAGCATCAGCCTTAGGAGACACAGAACACCTAGCCAGATTGGTCAGTTGGGTTTGTAATCATTGCCAGTTTGGTCATTTAAAATACTTAATGTTTGCAGTTTTTGTACTAGAAATTAGAGAACACATTTAGATGTTTTAAAACAATTTTGTTGTTGTAGTTCTGGCCAATTAAATATGACAAAAAATCCTAAGTCAATAATTTCTGTGTAAATGATGAAATGTTACAATCCTAAGTAAAAAAAAATCCTGTGTAAATGATGAAATACTACAATCCTGTGTAAATGATGACAAACCTGCTTTACAGCTGGGTCAGGCAAGATGTCTGAACGTAAACACACAGGACAAGTTAGGTAACTCCGCCCTCCACCTCGCTGCTTTACGCGGTCACGGTACAGCAGCCGCCTTCCTCCTGCAGCATGGGATTGATTCCAGTCTACGGAATGTTGCAGGTGAGTTCATGTGGGGCTAGCTTTGGTCACTCAGCTGTCACTCAACCAGGTCTAGCTGTCACTCAACACAACGAGGTCTAGCTGTCACTCAACCAGGTCTAGCTGTCACTCAACTAGGTCTAGCTGTCACTCAACCAGGTCTAGCTGTCACTCAACACAACCAGGTCTAGCTGTCACTCAACTAGGTCTAGCTGTCACTCAACCAGGTCTAGCTGTCACTCAACACAACCAGGTCTAGCTGTCACTCAACCAGGTCTAGCTGTCACTCAACTAGGTCTAGCTGTCACTCAACCAGGTCTAGCTGTCACTCAACACAATGAGGTCTAGCTGTCACTCAACCAGGTCTAGCTGTCACTCAACCAGGTCTAGCTGTCACTCAACACAACCAGGTCTAGCTGTCACACAACACAACCAGGTCTAGCTGTCACACAACCAGGTCTAGCTGTCACACAACACAACCAGGTCTAGCTGTCACACAACCAGGTCTAGCTGTCACACAACACAACCAGGTCTAGCTGTCACTCAACCAGGTCTAGCTGTCACACAATGAGGTCTAGCTGTCACACAACCAGGTCTAGCTGTCACACAACACAACCAGGTCTAGCTGTCACTCAACTAGGTCTAGCTGTCACTCAACCAGGTCTAGCTGTCACACAACACAACCAGGTCTAGCTGTCACTCAACCAGGTCTAGCTGTCACTCAACTAGGTCTAGCTGTCACTCAACCAGGTCTAGCTGTCACTCAACACAACCAGGTCTAGCTGTCACTCAACCAGGTCTAGCTGTCACTCAACTAGGTCTAGCTGTCACTCAACCAGGTCTAGCTGTCACTCAACACAATGAGGTCTAGCTGTCACTCAACCAGGTCTAGCTGTCACTCAACCAGGTCTAGCTGTCACTCAACACAACCAGGTCTAGCTGTCACACAACACAACCAGGTCTAGCTGTCACTCAACCAGGTCTAGCTGTCACACAATGAGGTCTAGCTGTCACACAACCAGGTCTAGCTGTCACTCAACTCAACCAGGTCTAGCTGTCACTCAACACAATGAGGTCTAGCTGTCACACAACACAACCAGGTCTAGCTGTCACTCAACCAGGTCTAGCTGTCACACAACAAGGTCTAGCTGTCACACAACCAGGTCTAGCTGTCACACAACCAGGTCTAGCTGTCACTCAACTCAACGAGGTCTAGCTGTCACTCAACACAATGAGGTCTAGCTGTCACTCAACACAACCAGGTCTAGCTGTCACACAACGAGGTCTAGCTGTCACTCAACTCAACCAGGTCTAGCTGTCACTCAACACAATGAGGTCTAGCTGTCACTCAACCAGGTCTAGCTGTCACACAACGAGGTCTAGCTGTCACACAACCAGGTCTAGCTGTCACTCAACTCAACCAGGTCTAGCTGTCACTCAACACAACCAGGTCTAGCTGTCACTCAACCAGGTCTAGCTGTCACTCAACCAGGTCTAGCTGTCACTCAACTCAACCAGGTCTAGCTGTCACTCAACCAGGTCTAGCTGTCACTCAACCAGGTCTAGCTGTCACTCAACTCAACCAGGTCTAGCTGTCACTCAACACAACCAGGTCTAGCTGTCACACAACGAGGTCTAGCTGTCACTCAACTCAACCAGGTCTAGCTGTCACTCAACACAACCAGGTCTAGCTGTCACTCAACACAATGAGGTCTAGCTGTCACACAACCAGGTCTAGCTGTCACACAACGAGGTCTAGCTGTCACTCAACCAGGTCTAGCTGTCACTCAAACAGGTCTAGCTGTCACTCAACCAGGTCTAGCTGTCACACAATGAGGTCTAGCTGTCACACAACGAGGTCTAGCTGTCACTCAACCAGGTCTAGCTGTCACTCAACCAGGTCTAGCTGTCACTCAACCAGGTCTAGCTGTCACACAACACAACCAGGTCTAGCTGTCACACAATGAGGTCTAGCTGTCACACAACGAGGTCTAGCTGTCACTCAACCAGGTCTAGCTGTCACTCAAACAGGTCTAGCTGTCACTCAACCAGGTCTAGCTGTCACTCAACCAGGTCTAGCTGTCACTCAACACAACCAGGTCTAGCTGTCACACAACGAGGTCTAGCTGTCACTCAACTCAACCAGGTCTAGCTGTCACTCAACACAATGAGGTCTAGCTGTCACACAACGAGGTCTAGCTGTCACTCAACTCAACCAGGTCTAGCTGTCACTCAACACAACCAGGTCTAGCTGTCACACAACGAGGTCTAGCTGTCACTCAACCAGGTCTAGCTGTCACTCAACCAGGTCTAGCTGTCACTCAACTCAACCAGGTCTAGCTGTCACTCAACGAGGTCTAGCTGTCACTCAACACAACCAGGTCTAGCTGTCACACAACGAGGTCTAGCATTCATGAATGTTAGATTGTCAAGCTTATATCTTGAGTTGCAGGCGGTAGTTCAGTGTTGAAAGTTTAATATTAATTTTTAAAGTATCCTGACATTTGTATGTTTGTTAGGTCTGTGTATCCTGACATTTGTATGTTTGTTAGGTCTCTGTATCCTGACATTTGTATGTTTGTTTTGTCTGTGTATCCTGACATTTGTATGTTTGTTAGGTCTGAGTATCCTGACATTTGTATGTTTGTTAGGTCTGTGTATCCTGACATTTGTATGTTTGTTTTGTCTGTGTATCCTGACATTTGTATGTTTGTTAGGTCTGAGTATCCTGACATTTGTATGTTTGTTAGGTCTGAGTATCCTGACATTTGTATGTTTGTTAGGTCTGAGTATCCTGACATTTGTATGTTTGTATGTTTGTTAGGTCTGACAGCGTATGATGTGGCCCAAAATGTCAAGGTCAAACAAATTTTAGGTCTCCAGCCAATCAAATCATTGCAGAGCCATCCTCAGAGGTTTGAGGGTGTTTTATTGAAGGTCAGTAGCTTGGTGGGTGGTGGTAAGTTGGTGGGTGGTGGTAAGTTGGTGGGTGGTGGTAAGTTGGTGGGTGGTGGTAAGTTGGTGGGTGGTAAGTTGGTGGGGTGGTAAGTTGGTGGGTGGTGGTAAGTTGGTGGGTGGTGGTAAGTTGGTGGGTGGTAAGTTGGTGGGTGGTAAGTTGGTGGGTGGTGGTAAGTTGGTGGGTGGTGGTAAGTTGGTGGGTGGTGGTAAGTTGGTGGGTGGTAAGTTGGTGGGTGGTAAGTTGGTGGGGTGGTAAGTTGGTGGGTGGTGGTAAGTTGGTGGGTGGTGGTAAGTTGGTGGGTGGTGGTAAGTTGGTGGGTGGTGGTAAGTTGGTGGGTGGTGGTAAGTTGGTGGGTGGTTAGTTGGTGGGTGGTTAGTTGGTGGGTGGTGGTTAGTTGGTGGGTGGTGGTAAGTTGGTGGGTGGTGGTAAGTTGGTGGGTGGTGGTAGGTTGGTGGGTGGTGGTAAGTTGGTGGGTGGTAAGTTGGTGGGTGGTAAGTTGGTGGGGTGGTAAGTTGGTGGGTGGTGGTTAGTTGGTGGGTGGTGGTAAGTTGGTGGGTGGTGGTAAGTTGGTGGGTGGTAAGTTGGTGGGGTGGTAAGTTGGTGGGTGGTGGTAAGTTGGTGGGTGGTGGTTAGTTGGTGGGTGGTGGTAAGTTGGTGGGTGGTGGTAAGTTGGTGGGTGGTAAGTTGGTGGGGTGGTAAGTTGGTGGGTGGTGGTAAGTTGGTGGGTGGTTAGTTGGTGGGTGGTGGTAAGTTGGTGGTGGGTGGTGGTAAGTTGGTGGGTGGTGGTAAGTTGGTGGGTGGTGGTAAGTTGGTGGGTGGTGGTAAGTTGGTGGGGTGGTAAGTTGGTGGGTGGTGGTAAGTTGGTGGGTGGTGGTAAGTTGGTGGGTGGTGGTAAGTTGGTGGGTGGTGGTAAGTTGGTGGGTGGTGGTAAGTTGGTGGGTGGTAAGTTGGTGGGTGGTAAGTTGGTTTAAGTTAAAGGTGATAAATATTCTTTTTAAGGTACATGTCATATCACACATGTCATATCACCATGTCTTATCACACATGTGCTATCACACATGTCATATCACACATGTGCTATCACACATGTCATATCACACATGTCATCACACATGTGCTATCACATGTCATATCACACATGTGCTATCACATGTCATATCACCATGTCATATCACCATGTCATATCACACACAAAAGCTACCACAGAAGATAAGTCACCTTTATTTTAGTTTGTCTTGTTTTTTTAAGAAGAATATTTAAAATTGTTGGCTGTGTTTTTAATTCAATAATTATCCTTTAGGATCTGACAGTCACAGTGTTTGAATATTGCCGTTATATTTTCTTTATTTTTAAGTGATGAACTATTTTCATATTTTTTTTCTAGAAATCTCGTTTTGGTGGGTTCAAGCCAATGTGGGTAGTTCTAGAGAGAGGCGTCCTCTCTTACTTTGTCAACAGGTGTGTGTTCAACTCTATAGGTTTAACATTTGGGTTCAACTCTATAGGGTTAACATTTGGGTTCAACTCTATAGGTTTAACTTTTGTGTTCTACTCTCATAAGTCTAACATTGAGGTCTCTTTTCATAAGCTTAATAAGTGGAGATTTGTTACTATAAATATCCTCTGTATATGAACAAGCCTACTGCAAACATTTACAAGTGTCATGTCACCTACCTCTCATGTCACCTACCTGTCATGTCACCTACCTGTCATGTCACCTACCCGTCATGTCAATTACCTGTCATGTCACCTACCTGTCATGTTACTGTCATATCACCTACCTGTCATGTCACCTACCTGTCATGTCACCTACCTGTCATGTTGCCTACCTGTCATGTCACCCACCTGTCATGTCACCTACCTGTCATGTCACCTACCTGTCATGTCACCTACCTGTCATGTTGCCTACCTGTCATGTCACCTACCTGTCATGTTACTGTCATATCACCTACCTGTCATGTCACCCACCTGTCATGTCACCTACCTGTCATGTTACTGTCATATCACCTACCTGTCATGTCACCTACCTGACATGTCACCTACCTGTCATGCCATCTATCTGTCATGTCACCTACCTGTCATGTCACCTACCTGTCATGTTGCCTACCTGTCATGTCACCTACCTGTCATGTTACTGTCATATCACCTACCTGTCATGTCACCCACCTGTCATGTCACCTACCTGTCATGTCACCCACCTGTCATGTCACCTACCTGTCATGTCACCCACCTGTCATGTCACCTACCTGTCATGTCACCCACCTGTCATGTCACCTACCTGTCATGTCACCTACCTGTCATGTCACCTACCCGTCATGTCAATTACCTGTCATGTCACCTACCTGTCATGTCACCTACCTGTCATGTTACTGTCATATAACCTACCTGTCATGTCACCTACCTGTCATGTCACCTACCTGTCATGTCACCTACCTAACATGTCACCTACCTGTCATGCCATCCATCTGTCATGTCACCTACCTGTCATGTCACCTACCTGTCATGTTACTGTCATATCACCTACTTGTCATGTCACCTACCTGTCATGTCACCTACCTGACATGTCACCTACATGTCATGTTACTGTCATATCACCTACCTGTCATGTCACCTACCTGTCATGTCACCTACCTGTCATGTCACCTACCTGTCATGTCACCTACCTGTCATGTCACCTACCTGACATGTCACCTACCTGACATGTCACCTATCTGTCATGTCACCTACCTGTCATGTCACCTACCTGTCATGTCACCTACCTGTCATGTCACCTACCTGTCATGTCACCTACCTGTCATGTCACCTACCTGTCATGTCACCTACCTGTCATGTCACCTACCTTTCATGTCACCCACCTGTCATGTCACCTACCTCGCATGTCACCTACCTGTCATGTCACCTACCTGTCATGTCACCTACCTGTCATGTCACCTACCTGACATGTCACCTACCTGTCATGCCATCCATCTGTCATGTTGCCTACCTGTCATGTCACCTACCTGTCATGTTACTGTCATATCACCTACCTGTCATGTCACCTACCTGTCATGTCACCTACCTGTCATGTCACCCACCTGTCATGTCACCCACCTGTCATGTCACCTACCTGTCATGTCACCCACCTGTCATGTCACCTACCTGTCATGTCACCCACCTGTCATGTCACCTACCTGTCATGTCACCTACCTGTCATGTCACCTACCTGTCATGTCACCTACCTGTCATGTCACCTACCTGTCATGTCACCTACCTGTCATGTCACCTACCTGTCATGTCAATTACCTGTCATGTCACCTACCTGTCATGTCACCTACCTGTCATGTCACCTACCTGTCATGTTACTGTCATATCACCCACCTGTCATGTCACCTACCTCTCATGTCACCTACCTGTCATGTCACCTACCTGACATGTCACCTACCTGTCATGCCATCCATCTGTCATGTTGCCTACCTGTCATGTCACCTACCTGTCATGTTACTGTCATATCACCTACCTGTCATGTCACCTACCTGACATGTCACCTACCTGTCATGTCGCCTACCTGTCATGTCACCTACCTGTCATGTTACTGTCATATCACCTACCTGTCATGTCACCCACCTGTCATGTCACCTACCTGTCATGTTACTGTCATATCACCTACCTGTCATGTCACCTACCTGACATGTCACCTACCTGTCATGCCATCTATCTGTCATGTCACCTACCTGTCATGTCACCTACCTGTCATGTTGCCTACCTGTCATGTCACCTACCTGTCATGTTACTGTCATATCACCTACCTGTCATGTCACCCACCTGTCATGTCACCTACCTGTCATGTCACCCACCTGTCATGTCACCTACCTGTCATGTCACCCACCTGTCATGTCACCTACCTGTCATGTCACCCACCTGTCATGTCACCTACCTGTCATGTCACCTACCTGTCATGTCACCTACCCGTCATGTCAATTACCTGTCATGTCACCTACCTGTCATGTCACCTACCTGTCATGTTACTGTCATATAACCTACCTGTCATGTCACCTACCTGTCATGTCACCTACCTGTCATGTCACCTACCTAACATGTCACCTACCTGTCATGCCATCCATCTGTCATGTCACCTACCTGTCATGTCACCTACCTGTCATGTTACTGTCATATCACCTACTTGTCATGTCACCTACCTGTCATGTCACCTACCTGACATGTCACCTACATGTCATGTTACTGTCATATCACCTACCTGTCATGTCACCTACCTGTCATGTCACCTACCTGTCATGTCACCTACCTGTCATGTCACCTACCTGTCATGTCACCTACCTGACATGTCACCTACCTGACATGTCACCTATCTGTCATGTCACCTACCTGTCATGTCACCTACCTGTCATGTCACCTACCTGTCATGTCACCTACCTGTCATGTCACCTACCTGTCATGTCACCTACCTGTCATGTCACCTACCTTTCATGTCACCCACCTGTCATGTCACCTACCTCGCATGTCACCTACCTGTCATGTCACCTACCTGTCATGTCACCTACCTGTCATGTCACCTACCTGACATGTCACCTACCTGCCATGCCATCCATCTGTCATGTTGCCTACCTGTCATGTCACCTACCTGTCATGTTACTGTCATATCACCTACCTGTCATGTCACCTACCTGTCATGTCACCTACCTGTCATGTCACCCACCTGTCATGTCACCCACCTGTCATGTCACCTACCTGTCATGTCACCCACCTGTCATGTCACCTACCTGTCATGTCACCTACCTGTCATGTCACCCACCTGTCATGTCACCTACCTGTCATGTCACCTACCTGTCATGTCACCTACCTGTCATGTCACCTACCTGTCATGTCACCTACCTGTCATGTCACCTACCTGTCATGTCACCTACCTGTCATGTCAATTACCTGTCATGTCACCTACCTGTCATGTCACCTACCTGTCATGTCACCTACCTGTCATGTTACTGTCATATCACCCACCTGTCATGTCACCTACCTCTCATGTCACCTACCTGTCATGTCACCTACCTGACATGTCACCTACCTGTCATGCCATCCATCTGTCATGTTGCCTACCTGTCATGTCACCTACCTGTCATGTTACTGTCATATCACCTACCTGTCATGTCACCTACCTGACATGTCACCTACCTGTCATGTCGCCTACCTGTCATGTCACCTACCTGTCATGTTACTGTCATATCACCTACCTGTCATGTCACCTACCTGTCATGTCACCTACCTGTCATGTCACCTACCTGTCATGTCACCTACCTGTCATGTCACCTACCTGACATGTCACCTACCTGACATGTCACCTATCTGTCATGTCACCTACCTGTCATGTCACCTACCTGTCATGTCACCTACCTGACATGTCACCTACCTGACATGTCACCTATCTGTCATGTCACCTACCTGTCATGTCACCTACCTGTCATGTCACCTACCTGTCATGTCACCTACCTGACATGTCACCTACTTACCTACCTGTCATGTCAAGTACTCACCTAACTGTCATGTCACCTACCTGTTATGTCACCTACCTGTCATGTCACCTACCTGTCATGTCACCTACCTGTCATGTCACCTACCTGTCATGTCACCTACCTGTCATGTCACCTACCTGTCATGTCACCTACCTGTCATGTCACCTACCTGACATGTCACCTACATGTCATGTTACTGTCATATCACCTACCTGTCATGTCACCTACCTGTCATGTCACCTACCTGTCATGTCACCTACCTGTCATGTCACCTACCTGTCATGTCACCTACCTGACATGTCACCTACCTGACATGTCACCTATCTGTCATGTCACCTACCTGTCATGTCACCTACCTGTCATGTCACCTACCTGACATGTCACCTACCTGACATGTCACCTATCTGTCATGTCACCTACCTGTCATGTCACCTATCTGTCATGTCACCTACCTGACATGTCACCTACTTACCTACCTGTCATGTCAAGTACTCACCTAACTGTCATGTCACCTACCTGTTATGTCACCTACCTGTCATGTCACCTACCTGTCATGTCACCTACCTGTCATGTCACCTACCTGTCATGTCACCTACCTGTCATGTCACCTACCTGTTATGTCACCTACCTGACATGTCACCTATCTGTCATGTCACCTACCTGTCATGTCACCTACCTGTCATGTCACCTACCTGACATGTCACCTACCTGACATGTCACCTATCTGTCATGTCACCTACCTGTCATGTCACCTACCTGTCATGTCACCTACCTGTCATGTCACCTACCTGTCATGTCATCCATCTATCATGTCACCTACCTGTCATGTCACCTAACTGTCATGTCACCTACCTGTCATGTCACCTACCTGTCATGTCACCTACCTGCCATGTCACCTACATGTCATGTCACCTACCTGTCATGTCACCTACCTGTCATGTCACCTACCTGTCCCCTAAAAGTTTTCAAGTAAGTTGAATGAACATTCCACTTTGTGTTGTGATGGTCAACATTTACACCATTGTTGACCCCACATCTAACCTTTGACCTAAATCCCCAGGGGCGATGCTTCAACTGGCTCCCACAGAAAAGGAATGGAATATTTAGATGAAGCTAAAGTTGTTGTAAGTTCTTCTGACATTGTTTAACACTGACCTGATTTAATTCTAAGTTTCTTTCTGACATTTTCTAGTTGTATACAAGGTAGATGGGAACTTGTCATTCTAAATTTATATTGGTTTAGATGGGAACTTGTCGTTTTAAATTTATATTGGTTTAGATGGGAACTTGTCGTTTTAAATTTATATTGGTTTAGATGGGAAATTGTCATTTTAAATTTATAGTGGGTAACAGCAAAAACTAATGTGTAGCTCTGAATTAATAAAACAAAATTTTATTTTCACCCCCATCTAGACAAGCAGCGCTAACCCCAATGAATTCAGGCTGGAATTTTCTGATGGATCACGGCACACACTGCAGGTTGTGGATACGGATAATGGATGTTACATAACCCTACAGGTAACTTGATGGTACAGGTAACTTGATCACACATTACAGGTAACTTGATGGTACAGGTAACTTGATCACACATTACAGGTAACTTGATGGTACAGGTAACTTGAATACTTAATTTAATTGACAACAAGTATTTCCCACTCTCAAGTGTATAAGACACTTTCCTCTAGATTTTGTTGAAAAAACTTCATCTGATTTTTTAAAACTTTCAGAAATGGCTGTCTGCCCTGTCAGAACACATAGCTTACAGCAACCATTACATTCACCAGATGGAGCAGAGCAGTGAGGACACCGCAGACAACCTGCTCTCTCTTGGCACCATGCAGGAGGCGCTGCAGGTACTCACCCACACACTCTTGTTTTGTTTATTCGTTCATTTTATAATTGCTGCATGTCATGTCATTGCATCACCTGCGTCACCTATCTGACATTTTACCAACCTGTCCGCAGACAGCTAGAGCCCACAGAGGACATGTAGAGAAACAAGTTCAAATCCTACAAGACACTCTGACAAGTCTGACAAGAAAATTGGCACCTGACGCTCTCATAAACAAACCTTTGAAGCAAGGTAAGTCTACACCACATTACTGTACACCACGTTACTGTACACCACATTACTGTACACCACATTCCTGTACACCACATTCCTGTACACCACATTCCTGTACACCACGTTCCTGTACACCACGTTACTGTACACCACGTTACTGTACACCACATTCCTGTACACTGTGTTACTGTACACCACATTACTGTACACCACATTCCTGTACACTGTGTTACTGTACACCACATTACTGTACACCGTGTTACTGTACACCACGTTACTGTACACCATGTTACTATACACCACATTACTGTACACCACATTACTGTACACCGTGTTACTGTACACCACGTTACTGTACACCATGTTACTGTACACCACATTACTGTACACCACATTACTGTACACCACATTCCTGTACACCATGTTACTGTACACCACATTCCTGTACACCATGTTACTGTACACCACATTCCTGTACACCACATTACTGTACACTGTACTGACTTGACCAGACAAATGCCCACCAACCACTTGATTTCCTCATCAGACAGAATTTTTCTTCCAGCAGATCTGCAGGCAGTGACAGCCCAGACAGCAGACATCCTGACATCACAGACAGCAGACATCCTGACATCACAGACAGCAGACATCCTGACATCACAGACAGCAGAGATTCTCAAGTCCTCCCAAGACATGCTCAACTCACTCAGCCACTGTCTGATACTGCTAACTCAGCAGGAGGAGGTAAGTCTTGATCTACTCGCGTAGATACATATTTTAATTGTTACTTCCCTTGTCATAAAATCTGCACCAATTTTTCCCTCATGTTGGTGGTTACCAGTACAAACAGTTGTTTTAATACATACAAAGGTCAAGGTCACGGTTATGTAATGGAACCAGTGAAGTGTAGGGAGTGATTGATTGAAAGAATTGAAAAGCTGAATTAGGTTTTGTGTTGCTGACTTTTGTGTTGTGTGGGCCAACCTGTCAAGTTGCTTGCTGGGTGACAGACATTTGTTGCTGGATGACAGACAGACATTTGTTGCTGGATGACAGACAGACATTTGTTGCTGGATGACAGACAGACATTTGTTGCTGGATGACAGACATTTGTTGCTGGATGACAGACAGACATTTGTTGCTGGATGACAGACATTTGTTGCTGGATGACAGACATTTGTTGCTGGATGACAGACATTTGTTGCTGGATGACAGACATTTGTTGCTGGATGACAGACATTTGTTGCTGGATGACAGACATTTTTTGCTGGATGACAGACAGACATTTGTTGCTGGATGACAGACAGACATTTGTTGCTGGATGACAGACAGACATTTGTTGCTGGATGACAGACATTTGTTGCTGGGTGACAGACATTTGTTGCTGGATGACAGACAGACATTTGTTGCTGGATGACAGACATTTGTTGCTGGATGACAGACAGACATTTGTTGTTGGATGACAGACATTTGTTGCTGGATGACAGACATTTGTTGCTGGATGACAGACATTTGTTGCTGGATGACAGACATTTGTTGCTGGATGACAGACATTTGTTGCTGGATGACAGACAGACATTTGTTGTTGGATGACAGACATTTGTTGCTGGATGACAGACATTTGTTGCTGGATGACAGACATTTGTTGCTGGATGACAGACAGACATTTGTTGCTGGATGACAGACAGACATTTGTTGCTGGATGACAGACATTTGTTGCTGGATGACAGACATTTGTTGCTGGATGACAGACAGACATTTGTTGCTGGATGACAGACAGACATTTGTTGCTGGATGACAGACATTTGTTGCTGGATGACAGACATTTGTTGCTGGATGACAGACAGACATTTGTTGCTGGATGACAGACAGACATTTGTTGCTGGATGACAGATAGACATTTGTTGCTGGATGACAGACAGACATTAGTTGCTGGATGACAGACAGACATTTGTTGCTGGATGACAGACAGACATTTGTTGCTGGATGACAGACAGACATTTGTTGCTGGATGACAGACAGACATTTGTTGCTGGATGACAGACAGACATTTGTTGCTGGATGACAGACAGACATTTGTTGCTGGATGACAGACAGACATTTGTTGCTGGATGACAGACAGACATTTGTTGCTGGATGACAGACATTTGTTGCTGGATGACAGACATTTGTTGCTGGATGACAGACAGACATTTGTTGCTGGATGACAGACAGACATTTGTTGCTGGATGACAGACAGACATTTGTTGCTGGATGACAGACAGACATTGGGATCAACACTGAGCTATGAAGCAAGAGCCTGTGTGTGGGAGTTGTTCCGCCTCAGTTGCTAAGTGTGACTAGGTCACACATGACTGACTGTGACCAGGTCACACATGACTGACTGTGACCAGGTCACACATGACTGACTGTCTTGGGAGAGATCCAGTTGAACATGGGCGTGGCAGCCAAACCATTTTTGGTGCTGAGGCTCCCAAACAATCCACCCTACCTGATCCACCCTACCTGATCCACCCTACCTGATCCACCCTACCTGATCCACCCTACCTGATCCACCCTACCTGATCCACCCTACCTGATCCACCCTACCTGATCCACCCTACCTGATCCACCCTACCCCACCCTACCTGATCCACCCTACCTGATCCACCCTACCTGATCCACCCTACCTGATCCACCCTACCTGATCCACCCTACCTGATCCACCCTACCCCACCCTACCTGATCCACCCTACCTGATCCACCCTACCTGATCCACCCAACCTGATCCACCCTACCTGATCCACCCAACCTGATCCACCCAACCTGATCCACCCTACCTGATCCACCCTACCTGATCCACCCTACCTGATCCACCCAACCTGATCCAGATCCACCCTACCTGATCCACCCTACCTGATCCGACCTACCTGATCCACCCTACCTGATCCACCCTACCCCACCCTACCCCACCCTACCCCACCCTACCCCACCCTACCTGATCCACCCTACCTGATCCACCCTACCTGATCCACCCTACCTGATCCACCCTACCTGATCCACCCTACCTGATCCACCCAACCTGATCCACCCTACCTGATCCACCCTACCTGATCCACCCTACCTACCTGATCCACCCTACCTGATCCACCCTACCTGATCCACCCTACCTGATCCACCCTACCTGATCCACCCTACCTGATCCACCCAACCTGATCCACCCTACCCCACCCTACCTGATCCACCCTACCTGATCCACCCTACCTGATCCACCCTACCTGATCCACCCTACCTACCTGATCCACCCTACCTGATCCACCCTACCCCACCCTACCTGATCCACCCAACCTGATCCACCCTACCTGATCCACCCTACCTGATCCACCCTACCTACCTGATCCACCCTACCTACCTGATCCACCCTACCTGATCCACCCTACCTGATCCACCCTACCTGATCCACCCTACCTGATCCACCCTACCTGATCCACCCTACCTGATCCACCCTACCTGATCCACCCTACCTGATCCACCCTACCTGATCCACCCAACCTGATCCACCCTACCTGATCCACCCTACCTGATCCACCCTACCTGATCCACCCTACCTGATCCACCCTACCTGATCCACCCAACCTGATCCACCCTACCTGATCCACCCTACCTGATCCACCCTACCTGATCCACCCTACCCCACCCTACCTGATCCACCCTACCTGATCCACCCTACCTGATCCACCCTACCTGATCCACCCTACCTGATCCACCCTACCTGATCCATCCTACCTGATCCACCCAACCTGATCCACCCTACCTGGTCCACCCAACCTGATCCACCCTACCTGATCCACCCTACCTGATCCACCCTACCTGATCCACCCTACCTGATCCACCCTACCTACCTGATCCACCCTACCTGATCCACCCTACCTGATCCACCCAACCTGATCCACCCAACCTGATCCACCCAACCTGATCCACCCAACCTGATCCACCCTACCTGATCCACCCTACCTGATCCACCCTACCTACCTGATCCACCCTACCTGATCCACCCAACCTGATCCACCCTACCTGATCCACCCTACCTGATCCACCCTACCTGATCCACCCTACCTGATCCACCCGACCTGATCCATCATTGTGGATTATTTAGCTGATTCATTTTTGTCTCAGGTCCTTACCTAGGCCATCCCCCCACCCCTCAACCTACACCCCCCCCCTCCCTACAACTTTCATACCTCATCACCTCCCCCCCCCCCCCCCTCACCACCCAACCTGAGTCAGTTGTTTGACCATCAAGACGAAATGTTATAGTTTAACTTACAACCCAAATGTTATAGTTGAACTTACAACCCAAATGTTATAGTTTAACTTACAACCCAAATGTTATAGTTGAACTTACAACCCAAATGTTATATTATTGATGCACAAAGCTAACTCATCATAAATGTCATATTTGAGTTATACAAAGAGGTCAATCATTAGGAAGTCGATACTTCCCCTCCACATACACCCCCCCCCCCCCACCAGCTGCATCGATACCCCCTCCCCACACACACACTTCCCACACTAGATGTATTGATGCAACACCTGTTAAGTTAAATGAGAATCTTTTTCAAATGTCTTAAAGTAAGTTAAAGCTCTCCGCATCTGTGCACTGTCTTCTCGTTTGGGATAAACTCCTAGCGTCTTGTGATTTGGGATTAAATTCCTAACATCTTCTCATTAGGGATAAACTCCAAACATCTTGTGATTTGGGATTAAATTCCTATCATCTTGTGGTTTTGGGATAAACTCCTAACATCTTGTGATTTGGGATAAATTCCTAACATCTTCTCATTAGGGATAAACTCCAAACATCTTGTGATTTGGGATAAATTCTTAACGTCCGGTGTATTCTATAGACATGAGGCTGGTTAGAGAAATCATGAAGACGCTTCAACAAATCTGTTTTTGTTAACTAAAGTGGTCTGTGGTCTTCAACTGACCGTTGGTGGTCTGTGGTCCTCAACTGACCGTTGGTGGTCTGTGGTCTTCAACTGACCGTTGGTGGTCTGTGGTCTTCAACTGACCGTTGGTGGTCTGTGGTCCTCAACTGACCGTTGGTGGTCTGTGGTCCTCAACTGACCGTTGGTGGTCTGTGGTCTTCAACTGACCGTTGGTGGTCTGTGGTCTTCAACTGACCGTTGGTGGTCTGTGGTCCTCAACTGACCGTTGGTGGTCTGTGGTCTTCAACTGACCTCAACTCGCCAACCCAGGAACTCGCCAACACTCGCCAGCCCAGGAACTCGCCAACCCAGGAACTCACCAACACTCGCCAACCCAGGAACTCGCCAACATTCGCCAACCCAGGAACTCGCCAACACTCGCCAACCCAGGAACTCGCCAACCCAGTGACTCGCCAACACTCGCCAACACTCGCCAACCTATTGACTCGCCAACACTCGCTAACCTATTGACTCGCCAACACTCGCTAACCTATTGACTCGCCAACCCAGGAACACGCTAACACTCGCCAACCCCGGGACTCGCCAACACTCACCAACCCAGGAACTCGCTAACACTCGCCAACCCCAAGCTAAATGGAGTGGTGGGCGCGGATATTCTGTCCTGTCACCTTTGTAAGTCTGCACACGTCTGATACATGTAGGCTACGTGTTTGTTAGCCCCAGGTCAGATGTTTGTTAGCCCCACATCAAATGTTTGTTAGCCCCACATCAAATGTTTGTTAGCCCCACATCAAATGTTTGTTAGCCCCACAT